TATGAATCCCTGCAGTCACGAAAGCTTTAAATCAAAAGTGGCTATGTTGTTATGGGAAATCCCCTTTAAATAGGTTCTTAGAAATGAAAATGTATTTATTACAAAGGTCATTACATACCATTTCGTTAAACAAACAGTTTAAATGCCCGAACAAAAACATCTTAATTTCCCAATTATATAATCGCCCTTTGTGGGTCCACTGGTTTATAAAGTGCTCCGCACACTGTGCCAATAATGGGGATTATTGACTATACTTCTCCACGCTGTTCAGTAGTGAAGTGGGAACCAGGAACTGATTCAGATTTTGGTCACAAGTGATGTTAGCCACGGCTGAGAAGCCGAACAAAGGTCACCGGGTTCATATTAAGTGGACCAACCACTGCACCACCAAACCTCCCATTATCAACACGGGGTGTGGTGTCTGTTTCACAACAGGCATAAATCCTTAAAATATCGTGTATTCCACAATGTGTGTGGTGCAAAGTTCAAGTCTGAGTATTTAACAGAATAGCAGATATTGTCTGGCAACGTGCATAGTGTAACTCTGTGCGCGTGCAGGGCCTACAAGAACAAGTCATGCATTTATTATGTTTAACACGTAGTAGGATTTCGCGACCAATATCATCAATAATAGAGGGTTTTTTAGGTTAGATCGCGTAAATATATAAATGTGTCGTGAAAACCCACCTTACTAGTTGGCCGTGTCGGGTGGTGGCAGGTGTTAACGACACATTTATATATTTACGCAATCTAACCCCCCAAAAAAGTCTTATTTTGCGTTTATTATTTTGATCAAAGTCAAAGGTTTAATTACCCAATTTCTGATTGTTTATAATTAGCACAAAGAGAAGCCAATTTATGACACCCATTACTCAATTCAATTACACGTTCGAAAAAAGTATTTTAATCAATTCAATACGGCTGTTCGTCGTGCAGTCTGTTTAATTAGCTGCTCCATCACATACCAAGCAGCAACACCAAATGTATGGAAATAAATGTAGGGCCTTTGTCCACTGGATGTGACCTGTGGAGATCAAAGATTCCCCCCCTCATCCACCAAATTAATACAGCCGGGTTACACGCATGCGACTTCAATTACATCTGTGTGTCCTTTGCAGTGCACACTACTGGAACTGCTCGTCTGTGAGTGGTCAATGCTCTTCTTCTTCTTCTTCTCAACATTGATGCTGGGCCTAAAGTGTCTCTTGGTTCTCCTTCATTAATCACGCGGTCCTTCCGAACTGTCTTTGTCTCTTGTTTGTTTTATTCCAAGGTTCCTTTCTTGGTTCGCTTCCTACTTCTCTGACTGCTCCTTCTTTATTTCTATCCAAGGCAAATCCCCTTCACCTACAACTTTTCCCTACGTTGTCCTCCAAAAGTTACCTCTGAGGTCCACTTCTCTTCTCTATCAACCATCTCCGCCCCCGCCCCTTGGCCAACTCATCTCCTGAGTCAACATCCCTCATCACTTCTATGCTGATGACACACAGCTCTAGAGTTATTTTGATTCCCTCCGATGCTGACCCTTTTTCCCCAACCAATCTGCTCATCTCTCTCAGGCTGTCTCCTGCTGGACCTTCAACAACCTCCTCCAACTCACATGTATTTATAAACAAAAACACGAGGTCTTGAAGGTTGGGAAGGAAATCTCTTAATCCCACTCAAATTCATTCACTTTCTCAACTATAGTCGTTTTAACTGTTTCACCAGTCTCCAACAGTGGCTTCACAATTGACCCCCGAACTCTCTCCGACTCCTCACATTTCCTTCTTTGTAAAAATGCTCAAATTCACCTACTCAACATCTCCCGCATTTCAAAATGTCTAACACCTTCTGCTGCCGAGATGCTTTGCCCGCCTTCATCACTTCTCGACTCGACCACTGTGACTCCCTCCTCTATGGTATCCCAAACGTCCTCCTCCACAAACGCCAGACGGTCCAAAATGTTGCTGTCCTCATTCTCACCCGCTCACGTAAACGTGCTCCGCATCAGCTCCATCCTCTATTCCCTTCGCTGGGTCTCCTATAATATGGAAACTGTGGTCTTTAAAATCCTCTGAAGCCTTGGCACCCCCTGTCTTCCCTAATATCCCTCCATACCTCCTCTCGACAGCTGCAGTCCTCTGACAAATGGCTCCTATTCAAACCCATATACAATCTATAATCCCTTGGTTGTGGGCTCCATTTCCCCGTTTGGCACCCTCGGACCAGGAACTCCCTTCCCCTCTTCCCTTTGGTAGCCACCAAAATGACAGCCTCCCGGGGTTCAAATCTCATCCCTAAGACCCTCCCCCCCTCACTGGTCTACAAAGGCAGCGGCCACCGCCCGCCACTGCCCCGCGTCCTGTAGTCGAGTCCGCTGGAACCTCGCGGTCCCCAAAATATTTTTGTTCCACCTTCGTCTCTCCCCTGGCCCCCTTTCCTCCACCAACTCTCTCCACCTTCCCTTTATCGTCCCCCCCCACTGCCCTCCTCCACCTCCAATCGACCGCCCCTAGGCCAGAGGGACCCTCCTCCCTTCCTATGCCCCCCCTCCCTAACCCTTTCCTCTCCCCTTACCTTTCCCCCTAATTCCCCGCACCACCCTTTGCCCTGCCCTTACTCCTCTACCGTGTCTCCCCTCCACATCACATTTATCGCAGCAGTTTAGGTTGAATTTTGTTTATCTCTTGTGTAATTGTAAGCTATTTTTACTCATTTGAAATTTTGTATAGATTTTTTTTTTATCAGTTACTTTCCTATCACGTGTGAAGCACCCCGAGACGTCCGGCTGCTGTGAAGGGCGCCTTCCGTCAAAAACAAATTATTTCTTTATTATTAACCAATAATTATTACGGCACGATACTCAAGGTGATAGAGAGGTGCTCCCAATGCTTTTACACCAATAATACCACACTATACAGGAAATATGAGACGAGTACGAATAGGATCACAGAGCTTTGGAAATCGTTGGCAGCGGCTCACCGCGTGGCTGCTTCCCAGCTCGTCTTTTGGTTCCTCGCCCCTCAGAGTGTCAGTCTCTCTCGCAAAGAGTGAGCAAATGCTGTGCGTGTTACAAACTGAAATTATATACGATTATTATTGTGTGTGTGAGTATATATAATATAGTTTATATACACTGCATTTAAAACAACTTGCCTCGTTGGCATTAAGATCTTTATTCAGACTCTTTGTTTTTTTAAATTCATTTTTATTTCCTACGCCCATGAAAGCCAATGCTAATTCATTAATGGTCGATGCATGCAAAGGTTCAGCCCCACGTGTGCTGGTGTTCCGGCACGGAGGCAGCATACAAATCCGGGCTCTTAGCTGCGTGCACAGGCATCTGGCCCGAGCTGGAGTCAGGAAATAGAAACACACCCACACTACAGAGGAGGCGGAGGGAAATGTGACGCAGTGTAACGTAGAATAGAGCAATGCTCCCCTAGGGAATGCACCGTGCGACTCCTCACATCTGCGATGCCGAGTGTTTATCATTTGCCCGACCACAAGAGCCACTCCGTTGCACAAATTCCCCCAGTGTGGTAAGAGGGGGGGGGGGGGATTTTGTGCGGGGGGAGGTGAGAGACCACGAAACACAAGGCCAGGATCAGCGACTTGAGAACTGGATTCTGGGCTTCAAGGCTAGGTTTGCAAATCAAAACAGGTGTATTATTGACGCTGCCAGGAGATTCAGAGCAGCCTAATGAATGGCCCAAATCGAATTTGCAGCTGGTGAAACCTTCCCGAGGCACGGAAAGACTTCATGAACAGTTGAGCACAGTACAGCGGCATAGTGCTTTGGAAAATAAAACAACACGGGACATTTGTATCTTGATCTCCAGGGCACGAGAACAACATTTAAAATAAAATATCTATTTTCATCTACCCTTTTACGACAGAATATTATAAATCACCAAATCTTGCAAAACTTCATGCTGCCTCTGTTGTATTGTACAACATATATGCACTTTAGATTTTAATTTATACACCAATAGCAATACAAATTGTTATTGCTTCAGTTGTGACACAAGGTACAATTGCATATGCAGCCACTCGTTGATAACAAAGTTATTTATTTCTCAGAAGGAAAGGTCACAAAATTAGATATTGATTAATATCTCTTTCAAGCACATTTAGCCGTCCACCAGACCGTGCAATGTAGCCATGTAGATTAGTCTGTTTTTCTATCTGTTCTCACACAATGTTGCCAAATTAAGGAAGGGTATCATACTTTTAAATTCATATTTGATTTGCGCGGCCTTCTGTGACCGTGCCGGCCTCGATAAACTCAATACACGTACAGCATTTTTGCTCCAAATGGCAGTGGAAATTGAATCACAGGTATACGTGATCCTGGCTCCAAATCCATATGTGGCCATTAATGCAGTGAGCCCCCCAGGCCACCCTCTCACACATGACATTTCCAAGTGACCAACGTCTTGCATGGCTGACTCAATTCGCATGCATTTATTCCATGAAACATCCAAACTCCTAACCCAATGCACTTTGGGACACGTAAAATAAAGCGACTGTGTAACCACTGGAACATTATTAATTTCACGAAAACTGCCCAGGAGACTTTCAAGCCACACAGTTGGCCGTTAATGTAACGCAATTTCCACTTGTGGGGTAGAAACCTCAAGAGTCCATTCTGCGTGGAGGATCGGCACCGAATGAAACGCAAATAGGTTTATTCTTTGTGAAAACTTACGAGGCCGTACATCACGCAGAAGCAAAAACTGAATTGGGACTCGGATGTGTCAAGCTTAATGTTACCATGGGGCCCATAACAACTGCTGTCGGTTGCTGCGTGGTTAAATAAAGAGAACTCGTGCGGACTAATGCAATTTGAACGCTGGGGTAAACTTCTTCACGAAAGTCACCCAAAGAGTGAACTTGGAGTAAGTGGCTTTATTTTTTATTTTTTTATTTTACAATCCAAAAGATGAAACCTAAGGAATAACAACTAAGCAAGAAGAAGGCTGACAACGGCTGTGCAAGCGAGGGCGACTCGTTACCTTGAGGCCGTCGAAAACGAAGGCCTGGTCATCGGAGCCCAGCGCGACGTCAGGCCGGCAGCCGGGCCGCGCCCAGCCCACGCGCATGTCCCCGGCCGTCACCAGCTCAAACTCGAAGTACCACTTGCCCGTGCGCACCGCGTAGAAGCGCTCCGTGCGGAACTGCCGCTTGTGGACGCCGTGGACGTCAACCCGGGTAGCTGGCGGGCAGTCACATCACCAAGGGCAAGAGGGTAGGGGGGGTTGGGTGAGGCGGGGTGGGGTGTGGGTGAAATTCGTTGGGTCACAATCACATAAAAAGTAACAAGGTAAGATGAATCATGCAGTTGCATGGATTACGGAACGCTTTCCAACACAATTTGTTTTAAAATATATATTGAGGTGACATTCCACTGACATTCAACAGCATCTTTTTCTTTTAAAAGAAAAACTTAAAATTATTTGGCTCCAAAATGTGCATGAAGATCTGTATACAGGCAGATGTAAAGACTGAACAAGTAACTTTAAAAAGTTCATGGCTAAATTGAATTGTCTCCCTGTTCAAACAAGCAAAGGGACAAACAACACCACCAATCTTCACCTATAGTCCTGAACCAGCGTCGGAAATTCCAGATTCCAAGGAAAGAGCCAGTGTCCTCCACAGAGCATTCGCAGTGGTTGTGAATGCAATCACATACCCCAGGGTATAATTTACATGTATTCTGTCCTCGTGGAGATTGAAAAAGCTTTTCCCTCCATATCCACCCAAAAGAATAGGCTCATCACAGGCAGCCATTTTAAACAACCATATCGCACTGTGGTGCATGTACAATAATATCTATTTTAAACTTTAATTTTTTTAGCAGGTAAGGCCCACTGAGCTATAAATATATCTTTTTCATCAGAGACCTGGCCACAAATGCTAGCTCAACGAAGTGGCTTATTGTGTGGAAATTTATAGCAGCCAAATACTCTAAATAGACGTTTCTAAATGTGGGGGGAAAAACTGGAGGATTGAACCCCCAGGCTCCTGCATACCAGGCGAGGAAGTTAATATCTTACCACCGTGGCGCTCATTAGCACAGTGTGGTTATGAGCCAGGCATTGTGGCACACTCCTGTAACCCAATACTTTTGAGACAAGGGTTTGAAGACCCACATAGATTTGCGAAACTCCCAAACTCTCTGGACTGCAAGAGGGCCAGGAGATGGTTGCACAAAAACCGGCTTCCGGATTCTGTCTGTGTGGAGTGAAATGCCATCATATGTGTGGGTTTTCTCCTGGTACTCCATTTTCCTCCCATAAGCAAAAATACTCACTTATGGTCTTGATCAAATATCCCAAAGTAACAGGAACCCTCTTGAAATTGTATTTAAAGACTCGGTGAGGCTTTTTGTGATAAACAAAGAACATTACTTCAAATGAAATCATAATGTACGTGTAACAAATTAACTCGCATTCAGTACAACCTTTACAATAATGAAAAACACACAAGGGAGGCTAGGAATGGGAGCAGCGGGGACAACAACAACACATTGCAAGCTAGCAATTCGTTTAACAAAATTGACTGAAATTTCAACACGTCCCCATGTTCAAATGAGCCCTGAGCAGTGCTCACCACAAACCACGAGTAAAAATTCCACATTACCATGGTGGGAGGGGGGGGGGGGGCAAGTCGTGCCACATTGCAACCGTAATCGCTAAATCACGTGACCCAAGGAACGTATACAATTCAGGTTCCTTAAATTGCTTTTATTTGAACCAATCTATACTTTGTGCTTTACAGAAAGCAAGCCAGTTTCCAGCCTGGAACTCTCAGCACTGTAATCGCTCTCTCCGGTTTACATCAGAAAGGAAATCTTTCACTCAAAAGGGTTGCCTTTCAGAGAGAAAATTACGAATCTGACAGCGGTGCCGTACAATAAGATTGGACCAACGTCATTCCGATTATATCACTGCCATTTATTCCAAGCTGGCAGTGAGCGCAGACAGCTGTTACATCATTGCACAACTGTATGGTATTGAGGGCATTTGAATGAGGCAAAGGCAAACAAGAAAGGCCGAGCGAGAGGGCAGCTATTTGACCACAGACGTCAATGTCAGTCGGCTCAAACGAATATGGGCCTGCGCACATATTTACTGGCAGCCCCTGTGCAAGGCGTGGGAATTTCCGCATCCCCACGGCGGAGTCAACTATCCCCAAAGGACAACCCCAGGTTTGACTTCCAACAAAAAAAGTGCTACCCATTTATTATTTGCTGCTCGAAACGATGAGAACCTTGAGCCGACAGCCAACTGGGACCGCCAAGTGCAACGTTGCAAATGTCACGTACATCTTGATTGAAGCCACCGGAATTACCAAAACGCGTAAAAGTGAAACAAAGTAATCGTTTATTTTTTTATTCTGCGCTTCCAGAATGAATGCTTTTCAGACAAGGCACTTTTTTGTGTTGTTTGCAACTCAGAGGTTTTTTTTTCAAACGCACTATGTGCAAGACAGGTGGTTGGATTGTACACGCATAAATAAATTATAACGGTGGCATTAAAGCTTAAAGCGCTTTCAATACACACAGCATGATCACTCACACACATAAAGCTGGTCAGATAAACACTGTTTGTAAACAAGTAGCAATTCTGCACAAAGGCCTGCTCTTCAGGGTGGAGATTACAAAGCTCAGTGCTTTGCCTGTGACCTTTAGCAAATGTTGATGTTAGTCTGTGGCTCTATAACTATATGGTTACGTTAGGAGTTGGTAATCAAGAGGTCATAACATTGAACACTAAAAACATATTTTCAAGGCTATACAGTTGGGTGGCGCTGTGATTCAGCGTTGAACTCACCAATAGAAGTTTGCACATTTGAATTACTATTTATGATATTTGTTTACCCAGGAAAGTCTCACTGTTTCACGACTCTTTTGTCACATTTTCACAGGAGGGGGCGATATTGCTGCGATGTGTAATCCCAATTGAGTAATTTGCAGGAATTAATTTAGTAGTGTTTTGGAATGTTTGGCCAAGGCCAGTTACATCACGGGGTTTTTAGCGATGCGAGGAATCCGGAAAATGTGGAGGAAAACCACGCAGGACAGGTGGAGAACACGCAAACTCGACAGACGAAGGCACCCGAGTCGGGAATCATTCCCGGACCCGGCTTGTCACGCTAAAGTGTTACCACTACGCCACCCTGCCATCCATCCTGGTCGGCTCACTCGATGACCTCCCCAGACTCGACAACATGAGCACAGCATTGTGAAACATCAACGACAGTTGTCACATAAGTCAGATTTGAACGACACCCATGCGGAATGTCCAACATTGGCTCAGGGCCACCAAACAGAGATAAGTGTCACCCCATGCTCGTTTTAAGTCGAGAGATAATTTTACTTCACTATATCTACATACATCGGGAACAATACGAGGTTGAAGAATGGTATACTAAAAATATGTACCCCAACAATTATGTTTTTAATGGTATCCCTTGACGTTCAGTAACTTACGCCAACGCTAAAGCCGCATAGAATATAAATATAATTTGATATTGTTATTATGTGTATCATTGAGCGAGTGATAGTGGGGAGCGGTAGTGTCGCAGTTAAGAGCGCTGCACTACGAACCCGTCCACCCGAGTACGATTCTCGCTCACGGCCAACACCAGTGACGATTATCTGAATCGGTCATGGGCCTCCTCGAGGATGACTCGGTCTCAAATAAGTTCCTGGTGCGGTGTGTAAATAGATTTTCACTGGGGAGACAAAAAATTTAGACTGCTAACTGCACTTGCCCCAACAGTCTGGTAAGGCTATACGGGGGACCTTTGTCTTTGATAGGCAAAGCTTGTGAATCCAATGAAGGAAGAGAATGAGTGGAACATAAAAGAAAGATGATAGGGAACGAGCAATAATATTTGTTCACGCTATGTAAACATAAATACAGACACGTGGCCAGACAGGACAGAAAGACAAACTTAAAACTGACCAAATAACAAAAACAAAATTTTTTTGACTGCTATCCTAAGACACAGGTATACTTGGTCAAACGGGCATGTAAAGGCTATCAGTCGCAGGAGAAGCCATAACTTCACTGTGCAGGTAAAAAAAGGTTCATAAAAACAGGACACACGATGCTCGCGTTGGCGGTAATGCCATGTTGTGTTTTACAATGACACCTCTTCATTTTAAATGGAAGATTCATTTGTGGAAGTGAGAAGCCTCATCATTGCCTGCTTGTTATCGCAATTATCAAATTCGTCAACGATAATCCTGATAAAATACGCACAAGGCCAAAGCAGTTTTGTAAAAATCATATTGAGGAATGAGCTGCCTATGAAATAGAGGGCTGCTCCCTGGGGTATTTAAAACAAACTGTCTGGTCCGCAATGGCCATGTGTTGTTCTTCAAATTGGTCTTGGGAGCCTATTGGGTTACTTATTGCTATGCCTGAGAAATATCGTGTCCCTCTGCCCACCAGAGGACACTTCACATATTTTCACAAAAAAGTACTAAAATCCTCCCATGCAGCAACTGCTATGAGACTGAGCACGGAGCTTACCAAATGCTCAATTTTGCATGGAGTTTGGACAAGATCGACGATGAAATACGCCTCTAAAAAGTGGATTAAAAAAAATCTATATACGAGTGCAAATAGTGTGTGGACCTGACATAAGGTGTCCATTGGCATAAACGGCCATGCTCAAGATGTGTACAAGTACGTGCATTTGCATAGTCAAATCTCAGCATATTGCCAGCGTGTTCTTACATTCTGTACAGCAGGAAAATACACTTCTGAACACATTTGCAGATGGCATGGCTCATAATCTCCATATATATAAAAGGCAAAGTTGTGAATATGTGTCTGTTCAAAATGTTTAGTGTACTTCCCGACATGCAACAAACTGGAAATTTGCCATGTGGGTACTTTCCAGACTGTACACCATGCAAAAATTATAAAAAATACACTTTTGTTTTTTTTGGGGGGGGGGGGGGGAGCTCAATAATGCATATTTTTTTTGCACGGCAAGTGAGCTGTGACGTCAAATCTGTCACGTGACCCGCGCACGTGGAAGCGTAACGCATTGTAGTGTAGTGGTTAGCGCGCCACGCTACGAACCCGGCGACCCCAGTTCGATTCCCGCTCACGGCCACCACCGGTGACGATTATTTTTACCGGTCCTGGGCCTCCCCTAGGTCGACTCAGCATCAAACGAGTAACTGCTCTGCTGTGTAAACATCGCCACTGGGGAGACAAAGGCGGCGGGCGTGTTACTGGCCACCTTGTGTTATTATATCTGTGTACAGCAATCAAATCTGCAATTAAAGACAAAACCCCTCATAACAAAACAAAAACATTATTGATAATGGTCTACATTGTTGTCTTTGTCTCATTGTTTCCTGTCAGTCAGTCGTGACATTTGCTCAAGTTAATTTAATGGTGACCGAAGATAAGAGGGCCACAGTGCAGTTCTTCAGAAACTGTTGATGATTTATTTTGCATTAGGCTGAGTGCTTTTTGTACACGTTCGCACGTTCTTTGAAACATATAGTTACAGCTGCATAAACAGCCTGGAGCAGGCCCAAAAATAAGTCGACCTGCAGAGAAATGTAGAGCATGTGTAGCAGCAACACAATTTGACAAACAGAGACAGAGGAATGATGAAGAGAGAGGTGAGAGACGGCTGCAAAGGGGTGGGCCAAAAAGGGGGAGGGTAAGAGAGAGTCTCTGGATCAAATTCAAACTGCATATCCCTCGTAAACATGGAACGTTGGGTCAACGTTCGTCTCACGATTCCAACCGCATCCCAACGTCGTCCCAACGTTACGTGTTTACTGGGTCAGCACCATTGGATAGCGGTGCCACATGGGCAGGCAGCTCAAGCTTACACGAGTGTTTATGTGGGATCAGTATTAAACTTTGCTGTTACAGGAGAATAAAATAACCTCGGAATGCTGACGGTCAATGCCCGTCACAAAGTTGAAAAGCAACGTTTTTTTAAAGCTTCAAAATGCGTTGTTTTTTTTTTACAAGCATAACCTTTAACTATGAATTACATTAAACTAAATTCTTATTTTTTGCCCTTGATGTTATTTTTTTTTTCCATTTTGCAACTTGAATATTATTCTCGGAATGAAATCGGAGCCTTAAACGCATATGCAGCACTTGACAACGTACAGATTTATTGGCTCAGAGTGCTCGATTAAAAATAGCCAACAGCAAAAGTCCCGTTAAAGGAGCAACGGGTGCAGTCTTCTAATGTGCAGCGGCCCTGTTCATAAATAAGCCTGACAAATAGAAATGCCTCTGATATGTGTGCATTTCACGCAAGTGCACTGCCTTGCTAACGATACCATAAACGCACTTGACAATAAGGCAGACTCGAGATGCAACGTGTGCACACTGTATGTACATACTCCACCGAGCACTATGAATGGGTATACCACAGTCAGTCGATCAGTAGCGACGTGCACAGTGGGGTAAATGGGGGTACTCCCACCTCCTGCAGGGTGGAAGAAGAGTCCAAAATATTCCCGATTGGGTCTCCCTGCAGTGGAGGTGCTTCTGCCAGCAGTGGCAAAAACAATGAATACAGCCGAATCTCTCCCATCAACATAGTGATCATCTCCCATTAACACTGCTGTTGTGCGCATATGCGGGGACGATACTCTTATGCTGTGACGGAAGCTCATTCATGCTAATCTCTCTCCCTAATCTCTTTCTCCCTAATCTCCCCCACAACTGACGTGCTTGCGTCCGGGGATGGAATTCCTTTCCAGCTCAGACCCCCGCTTGCTTGCCCTTCGCCACATAAATAACCTCTTGGTGTAACTGCTCTCTCACTGGTTCAGCAGTTCCACTGCTGGATTATTTTTTTCCGCCTGAGGACGACCGCTTGTGCTGCGATCGAAACGTCGTGATATATTATTTTTTATTTTGTAAAAAAATTTCTACCTACGTGACTTTACCGAAAGAACCAAAGAGCAATGAATACAGAGTTGCACCTTTGCATTTGTGTACGTGCGTGTGTGTGTCTGTTTCATCTGTCACTTCGACACTGCACGTGGCCTCAAGGTGCACGTAGCCTGGCACAAGCGTCGTGGTGACGTCACCGCCACTTAGTGGCGAATGGGGGTTGTTGTTGTTGTTGCTGCTGTTTCATTTGTGAGGAGCGAGAGCGTCGGCGACTTCAGTGCGATTCCCTGCCATTTGCTAAAAACAGTGCCCATTGATATCTGCACTACACAGGGGCCCACCTTGGGTTGCCTCAGAATTAATTGAGTATCTGGTGCACTGTGTGAACATAAGCACCGGTGAGATGAGAAATGGCCGGGTGTCGTGCTGGCCACGCCAGCTTGTCACGTGCCGTGCAGACTTCAATATGTGCCCGATGACAGCATTGGCCATTTGCCCCAGATATATGTTAAAGGCTACACGGGATATCTTTGGTACATGTCTGTGTTGCATCTGATGTGCATGGGGCATAGTGGTGGTATAGTGGTTTGTGCACTGTGCTACACAGCACCAGTCGTGCGAGTTTGATTCCAAGTCATGGATAACATTCGTAGCATGTGGTATCTGAAGCTGCCCCAGGTCTCTCCTAGATTGACTCATCCTTAAATAGTGCAATGTGTAGTGTGTTTATCAGCACTGGGTGGGGGGGGATCTGTTAGATGAGCTAAAAGGTTGTAACAACATCTCATACACTTTTCTCTCTCACAGCCCTTGCCTCTTCGAAGAAACCCCAAGTATCAGGACTTGCTCAGGAGGGACCTGTATCGCGAATGTTAGGTTATTTTCAGATATTTTGCAAATGGGAGAAAACACAGAAATTACCGAGGCAACACGAGTGGCCAACGCTCAAAATCTTTACAGATAGTTCAGCAACTCAGTTGTGCTGCAGTACCCTTTTAAAGGGCACCTCATAGGCCTGTATATGACGGTGTCTAAATGATCCACCAACCATGCCTCATTAGGGTCACACGTCGACCGCTACACCCAGCAGAGGCGATGCACACTGCCTTGTCGTAAACGTGATGGAAGGCGAGTGTGAACATGTAAGGATTGTGTTGGCAATAAACTGCAGTGTTTTAATTCCACACCCCCCCCCCCCACCGACCACCCAAAAATATCCTCCGTTATCGCCGTCGATATTTTATGGGTCCATATTTTGTAATCACGAACCCCCCCCCACCCACCCGCCCACCCATTATGTGTACACTGAAAATGACAAATACTGCAACTGAAAAATGTGAATACATCATCTGGAATTTTGCAAAGTGCACGCTTTAATGTGTGAGCCCACGTGTGGTGCATAATGGACTCCGTGCACGCTGCTGAAAGGCCACAGCAGGTTTGTCCAACACGATTGTAGTGAAATGCTTGTGAAAATAATGAATAATTGCACCCCATTACAATCAGGCTCATCCAACCATTGCCGAACCGGGAAAAATACATATTTATGAATGAATCACACTGTTCTTCGCATGCATACAAAACATTACAGCACATGTGCTTTTACGACGATAGATAGGAACTAAATAGAGCTCGAAGAAATAACATAAAGTGAAAATGTCTCCTCGCTCAAACGAGTCAGATGGCATTCACCTCGATTAACAACTCTCGGTGACCTTACAAAGCAATGCTCACTGAATGCAAATATAATGTGATGCCATGAGTAGCTTAACATTGACCTCAATAGTCTTATTAAGTGGTTGCTAATTTCTATAACACTAGTTAAGTCTTATGAATACGCCCTTAAACATCGAGGCGCTGTGGCTGTGCATACTGTATTCGCGTGATTTGAATTTTTAGTGAAATCAATGGTTCTCACTCACAGCATGGGCTGAACGTTTGAAAATCGTACCGTAATTGAATAACCTGTTACTGAGCCCAGTTTAACCTTTTTGTAATTGCGTTTTATGGAAATTAAGAAAAAACAACAATTTAATCACCGAGCAAGGTTTAAAAAATGATTACGTGTGGTGGCTCGGAGTCACAACCCCGAGGCAAATTTGCACGGCCATCGAAATGTGTGCCAAAGTCAGAGGCGTGTTGTGTTGCGTGGGGCTGTAAGGCGATGTTACGCCGCTAGTTCTGAGAAGGGAAACAGAGACATTTTTTCGCGAGCTATTGGGATGCACACAAAAGCCATGCATTTGTGGGAAAGCCCAATGCATGTACAGTGAATGCAATTGCTGTTTCCAGCTCAGTTGGCACAGCGTGATTGGCAATGGGCTCCAGTGTAAGCAATCAAATGGGGTCCCCCCCTGTCTAATCCCCCCCCCTTTGAGCTCCACTGCCTAAGCCCCTGCCACTGGCGGGCTCCTGGACACACAACACACTCTGACTAAGCGAATGCTCCAGCTGCTAGAATATTCAGTATTAAAAGAACACGGGTAAACAATTACCTAAACCTGAGCGTACTCTAATCAAGAACAAGTTACCGCAATGGAAAATAATCACAAGGTTTGACAATAATAGAGTAGAATTAGAATTGTAGAGGTAGACTCAGCAATGTAAATAAGTTTAGCTTTACAATCTTGATTTGAAGCTTTCGTGACTGCTGGAATTCATACTCTTTGGTTCTTTAGGTAAAGTCACGTAGATATAAAATTATTAATAGATCACGATGTTTCGATCGCAACACAAGCGGCCATCTTCAGGTGAAAAGACCGAAGAGTTGAGCATTACAGTTTATTTATTCGGTTTTGCAGATCTATGACACCTTTAAGACCCGTCGGGTTATGAGTTAATTTTTGAGTTTCAATAGAGCCACGTTGTGACTTATGGTTCAACATTAATCCTCATATCTCAGAGTTCTAATAAGGCCCCCGTATGAATCTTAAGGATGTATCATACATTCCCTCAAACAAAAAAGCACTGACTTTCTAGCTCGTTCATTCTGAATTTGTCATCCACCATGCAGAACAAGACAGTATTTTTTTTAACCTGCCTTGTACTTTCCACCTCAGCGGTTGACGTGCGCTGTTCACACCAGCCCGACGCAGGTGTCATAGGTCAGAGTTTGAACTCGAGAACCGTGTGACGGGCGTCAATGAGACGGTGGAGGCAAGCCCAGCCTCCGCGTGGCTGCACCCGCTCACCTGGGTCTTGGTCTGGTGCCTCGATGTGGTACCCGTAGCCCAGCAGGGTGCGCACAGCCTCGCGCAGGCTGTCCCGGTTCGACTTCTTGGTCCTCTCATCCAGAAGGGCGTATGGCACGAGGCGCGGGTTCCGTCGGTTTTTGATGTCCTGGCCGATCACGGAGGAGTGAGTTGGAAGGATAATTTGATGAACACATAGCGCTGTATGAACCTGCAAAGGCCTGAATTCCAATTAATATAAACTCTATCATATATAGATATCAATATATAAAACCAGTACTTAAAATGTTAAGATAAAACTGTCCCCAAAGTTAAACCAACATAGGGAAAGGCTAATCGTTGCTGGTGGCCCTGAGTCGAAATGCTACATTCCAATGGCAGAAGCCATAATCTCCACAAGCAAACTAACGCTCCCAGTGGAACTTATTTTGTAGACCCCAAGGGGATGATGAGCTGAGGTGACGGAATTTGAAATCGCAACATTCTGATCGCGAGTCAAATGCTCTCCTGCAGCAACATCCGGCAGGCCAATGTGAGTTGAGTCACAGGGACTCATGTTAAGGAGGCTTTTGCTTGAAGTCTTTATCCAATTCCTAACTTAGTACTTGTGTTTCAGGACACCACATTGCCCAAAGAAAACCCACGCATATGACAGAATAACACTCGCACTTTGCACAGGCAAGTCAAAAGGCGTTTTTTCCACACCACCCCCATTGCCCTCTATCTCACACCCATCATGGCTTGGTCCCGGTGGAGGTCACCAATCCAGCACCACCCTTCAAGTCGCTTGACCAACTGGAGCTCACCACCACCACCACCCCTGAACGCTTATCCGCATTATATTTCCGTATTGTTAAACTGCACGTTAATTCTCCTACATTAAGGTGCGCACGTGTTTACTCTGAACAGAGGCAAATCTAATTCTGCGTGAAAAAAAAAAAGCGATGGCCTAGGGGCAGGAGAACCCGGACGACTGACAGGACAAAGACACCGATCCCCCATATAGCCTTAACAGACTGTTGTGGAAAGTGCTGTTAGTGAGCACCTATGAAGGCTGGCACAGCACACAAGGAGGTGGGTGGCCAGCACCACGCCCGGCCACGTTTGTCTCAGGTACTCATTTTTAAGCCTGCGTCGACCTTGGGAAGGCCCATGACCGGTTCAGATCCTCGTCACTGGTGTCGGCCGTGAGCGGGGGATAGAAATCGGGTCGCCGGCTTCGTACCGCAGGGCACTAACCACGACACTACCGTGCTCCCCACGAGACAGGAAACCACGGGCACAGCGCCACCGCACCTGCTGGATGCCGTAGGTCCAGCCCTGCCGAATGCGGTCGCGCGCCCACACATTGTGCGCGTTCTCTGCCAGGCGGTCCACGAGGGCCTCCTGGGTCGGGTTCAGCTTGGTGTTGGTGAGGTCCAGAGGAGACGGCTTGTAGTTGCTGGACATCAGGTAGCTGGGTCACACACACAGACGGACACGTGGCGAGCGGAGTTATGCTGAGTCTCCAGTGGGGGGGAGTGTGGGAGCTGGGTCTCAATCGAGGTCTAGCAAGGCACGCATGAAAGCCAACACCAGAACTGGGGCACAGTGATATCCTGAAGGCTTCAGTGTTTGCTTGAAAATGTTTTTTTTTTTACCAATTCCATCTGGACATGTGACACTGTGGCTAGAGGATGCGAGGGACCTTTTGGAAGGTCGCAAATTCATATGACCACCGGCTGGCGAATGAGCCTATCATCCCTCAGGGGTTGATCAAATGAATAATGCTTTGTGGAAAGTCAAGAGTGGATATTCAATGGAGAGCATGGTCCATGGGAATGCGAACAGAATTTACTTTATGAGAGGAAGGCAAAATTTTAAGTCACAAAATGGCTTAAGAGTGACATCAAAAGTCCTCTCCAGACTTCTTTTAATAGACTATGTTTGACAAATACAGGATTGCATAACCCCCAGGAGCACAAAAAAGGGAATGGTCCGAACTACTATTTGTGTCGGTCCCCTGCTGGATGAAGGCCTCCCCATGTTATGTTGGTCATGGGGTTTGTTTGCCCAAACGTCACCACACTGGTAAGTATGGCCAGAACTCAGGCTGTGCCACCACTCTACCCCCAGAAGAGATTACAGAATGTTATTTCATGTCGTGTAAAAATATCAATGGCAAAGCACAGTTTAACCTTAGGTAAAAACCCATGTTGAAAAGCATGAACCTCAAATGTTGCTAGCCCAGTGCAGCGACATTGGCACAACATGCGACCAATGAATTACCACTCCTGCCCCCAACACATGGAGGATGTTTTCAACATGCGTAAGCTCCTGATAAGGATGAGAGCCATTACTGAGCTCCATTACACTCAGCTATTGCTGGCATCCAGTAACATGCTGTTTTCTCATCACAGGGTCATAAGCAAGAATGTTATAATCAAGATGTCTTCAGCCACAGAAGCCTCTTTAAGCCCAGCTGGCTGGCTTTTCTTGACTCAGCAGGAGTCAACGTATTAACACCCTAATATAGAGCATTTCGCTCGCCTTTTATGTGCACTCGATTTGTAATGTTAAGTAACACTTTTTCGGCATGTGTGAGTACATTTTTTTATATTTACCCCATGCTCCGAAATGCCAAGAGTGTCTCCATGCTCAAGTTAACATGCGGCAGTGCTCATATTCCTTCGTGGAAACTTAGCCAGGCGTTGGGTATTATATATTCCTACGGTAGGAGCCGGTATCTGCTTAGGACAACCGCTGCTGAGATTACACTAAAGTTGTATTCACTATATCGACACGGAGAGATTATTGGAAACCGTTGTTTCTTTTTTAATTAATGTTTCACCTAAAGAAATCCTTTGAGATGGATAATCTCATTTGAAATGGTGTCCGGTTTTTCCCTGCACATATGGAAACATGCGTTTAGGTTATTTCGATTATTTGGCTATTAATTTCCACATGATAAGCCAGTTCGTTGAGCTATCATTTGTGGCAAGATAACGACCGAAAAAGAAGCTAATAGCTCAGTGGGCCTCAACTGGTAAAACATAAATAGTTTAGTTTTATTTGTATCTTTTTTTTAACTTTGCTTACCTTTCCTAAACTATGCACTCCTATTTTGTTTTTGTATTGTTTGGTGTTGTAACATTCTGACCTGCCCCTCCTGGACATCTGTGAAAAAGAGCTTTATAGCTCATTGGATTGCACCAATACAAGTAAACATTCTGATAAAAAAAAAAGTTTTAAACGAGAGACTAAATCAACCTGTGAACATATTAGATCGGTGTCAAATTTTTTGGTTGACTTTAAGCCTTCGAATCAATCAGATCATTGAAGTTTGTTGTGACAATTTGAGATCACGGAATAGGAGGATGGCAGCCTTTTTTTTTACTTCCTGGGGAGCTTGAAACGTTTCAGGGTTGCTTCGGCTTGCTCGTCTGCAATTCCCACGTGGCATCCTAGGGCGAGGAGTGTCCTGCGGAGGGAGCAGCACAGACGACACAGAGTGCAGGGGGCTTAGTGCGTGCCGCAACACGAGGCCATGGAGATCGACGATAGATGGACCCAGGAGGAGGTCATATTTCGTACGTGTGTTTTCATTTCGAATTCAAAGCGTTGCGGTGGGATAGTTCTGCACTTCAGGCAACGTCACTGTCCATATTTCAAAATCATCCCAATAATGCATATGCGGGTGGTGTTTCAAAGGAAATTATCCGTGGTTTTAGAAATTATGGTATATCTATACGAGTTAATTGTTTGACATGTACATGAGTACACATTCACAATCAGCAGCCCAGCATAGATGATCAAGTCAATTAAATCGAGGACATTTGAATACATTGTATTTCATGACCATTTCTCCCTTATCAAGAAAGATGGACCAATTAACTCAATCTGAATTAGAGTCAATAAAAAATACACTTTCTGGCTTGAACCAATGTTTACCCAGATCTTTCAAGTATCTAAAATGTATGTCCAAAATCATGGAACTGCCCGTGTACCTGGGTGTGCATACAAGAAATTGCTTTTGATTGGCGAAAACAAGTACAGGACTTATTTAATTCACTCTTGTTGGTTGTCTTCCTTTGACATTTCCTAATCCAGGAAGTCTAAAGTGTGTTATTGGAAGTATTTTGTGACTTTGGTTTGCATCATTCCAATAGCAAAGGCAGCTTCGTCCTATCATTATTAGCATACCGCAAAGAGACAATTTGTATCCATGTAAAGAAACCCATCAAGATTCACTTCACTCAGAGAGCTGGTATTTCAAATCGCTGTTTAAGCAGGACAAATATATGGAGTTTAATTGCATAGTCTGTCACTGCTTAAAGAACACTGACCTATATTATGGGATAATGCAAATGATACATTTAAAGAAGAAAAAAATATATCCTGCTAAACTTAGTACGATAATATCAAGTCAAGTCTAAATGGTTCTCTGCTCAGACAAGCAATGAGGTGGCAGCCCTGAACCACTTATGGAAATCCCTTATTCCCATGATGCGATCCAGTACATCCAAGTTACCATCGCTGTTGACTTCCCACCAAGTGCTACACATTTGAGCGACTTTAGAGGGGGTATGGAGTCGACCTCTGACCTGGCTTTGAACCATTGACCATCTGATCGTGAATCGAGAATTTAAACATCGTAGCACTCTGCTGGTGACAATAGTATTAATTGGGGGAAAATAAAATAAATCTTTCAAATCCTCAAGACAACATTAACGGCATAATTATAATGCCCATTGCAGCAGGTCACTATCACACGGAAGCTGATGGGAATGAGCCGGTGTAGATACGTGGGTCTTGAACCTTAAGCTATAAAAATCCAAACCACTCAGCCACCACATGGCAGACACCAGCATGTGTTTATTTGTGAGCATTTAAACCAATGAAGTATCTTACTGTCAGACACACATTGCTTTCACAGCCATATGTAATGTTGACCGATAAAGCTTCTACGTAAATTGAACGTCTGAACAGCCTTTCTGTTTGCCCCGTTTAAGATAATCTTTCATAAGCCATTGAAACAACAACAACAACAACAACGTTAACAGTTTTATATTTGTGACAATAATAATCACTGGAGTGAAGACATCAATAAGGTCCTAAAGCTGGGTAGTGTTGGATAAAATGGCAATACAAATTGGATGCATTCATCAAGACTGGCGCTCTCTCTGGCAATTTTTATTTATTTATTTGAGTGCTTTCTACGACGACACAGAGCACGCAGCCCATCAAACGAAAACACATAAACCAGGCCCAGCAGCATTCTGCTGATGCACATTAATATTTGATTGCGCTTCGTGAGTCTGAGTGTTGAGAGGTCACTTCCAGTGCAATAACGAAATTTGATGTTTTTGAAGGCTCGACCACATCCTCAGTGGCTGCACGATATTAATTAAATTAAATAATTGAAATGTAAAAAGCCGTGCGGTTTCAGTGGTACGTTATTATCACATCTCGGAGGGCTGGCAAACAGCAGCGTTTGCACCAACGCGTCCAGGTCACGGACTTTTACAACAGCACGATGCAATTACGTTGGGGCCTCTGTCCTGACAAAGCTGGAGATGACCGATTCGTGTTAAAAGAATGGGGCTAGGACATCTGAGCCGGTTTTCATCACTTAGTGAGTTTTCATTCCACATTGGGTGTAAAAAAAATTGAATCGACCAATGTGGCTTCTAAAAAGGCATTAATCAAGACACACATGTGTGCCTGGTGTACTTTAAAGTGGATCACGACTCTGGACAATAATAGATACATGACAAGGGAAAACATTGTGTAATCATACTCAGACCTCTCTCGTTTCAAGGCTACAACACGAGGAGCATAACTCCACCAGTCACTTAAGAGGCCACTCCATGTTGATGACTCTGTGATTGGTACCGGTGGTCCAATCAGACCTCTTGGAGGACGGATTAAATATAATTTCATTTTGGAGAATGTAATGAAACCCACAAACACGTTTGTTGAACTATTTATTATTCATATACTACTAATACTCTGCTAAGCCCTCTTATATACAGTAAAACCTTGGATTGCAAGCATAATTCGTTCCGGAAACGTGTTTGTAATCCAAAGCACTCGTATATCAGTTGTGATCACGTGACGCTCGGCAGACAAAGCATGTACGCACTACTCGTATTGCAAGACCTCGCGCTCGTTTATCAAATTAATATTTATTTAAAAATGTTGCTCGTCTTGCAAAACACTCGCAGACCAAGTTACTCGCAATCCAAGGTTTTACTGTATATATATTGACTTATAAGATTTACCAATAACATACTAGTTTTGTTTGTTATATTTTTTCACATTTGGAATCAAGTAGACTATGTCACAAACACACAGTGTTCAACTTCATTCAATAATCAGAATTTACCAGGTGGAATTCGAGCCTCTCAACATTGCTGAAAGCTCACATCCACACTGATGTTGACATATTGTAAGACTCGAAGAAAGCCTCACAAAGTATCATGACTTTTTTTATCCTCATGAGGATTCCACTTGCAACGTCAGCCCACGTCCTTAACAAGCACGTTGCATATCAAGTATAATCAGAGCACCCAGAGAAAATCAACACATTTGATGAGACGACACCCATTAAGTTGGGGGTCATTAACCCATTTGCTTCACCTGTCACATTCCGTCTGGCCACCTCGTAGCCCAGTAGAGAGGGAGCATTACACACGTAGGAAAATCTCCATGATCCACCAACCGCTCGACCTAAAGGCCTGGATTACAAAAGGAATGCACCAACCGTTTCTGCAAGAGGCACTGGAAATGGAGCCATCCTCGGGGAGAGGTTATCACGTTGACCCAAAAGATAACGAAAGGGGAGTAATAGCGTGTCGGACTGAGATACAGGCCACGTGCTCCTCTGTTGGTGGAGCTTGCTTACTTGAGAGTTTCACTGGACATCTGCAGATTGTAGTTGCGTTCCTGCTCAGGGAGTTTGTGGAAGTCCACGAGACATGGATGCTGCCTCTTGTTATCATCACGGACCTAGATGAACACCAGAAGACAGACAAGCGTCCACTGCCGAGCCATTTCGACTTTTATCGGAGATTAGTATCACGCCTCGCAAGGCCGACTAAATAACAAATGCAACAACATCAGCAGCGTGCATACGAGAATGCCATTGGTACGTGTACAGTATATGACTCTGAAAGCGTTAAATGTCTTGCGAGGTGAGGCGAGTTTAAACAAAAAAAAAAAGAACAACACGCTGATTTGTAGCGGTGAAATGGACAGATACACAGATATCGATAGAATTATATAAAAAAAAAAACATTGGTCTAAAAGTAATACATGTTAAAATAACGTTTTAATCATTACGGATTGAATAAAACTATAGCTACAGGCTGGAAGGTGGCATTGCCCAGTGAGGTTTGTTTATACCTTATCTACTTTATTCATACCAATTTAAATCTCTTGTTGCTGTAAACAAACTGAGTGTTGTTGCAATGAGGGTGATTAAAATCACCTATTGGGGAAGGACGAGTTAAGGTTGAATTATCAGCTCTCATTGTGTTCTCTTCCAATTCAACAGGCACCACATAAACAGAAAATTTGACCAAGCAAGAAACCTTCAAATACCGACCGACCACTATCGCGAACTTAATCTCCAAGCCAGCACAAGAGTCACGATCACGCAAATGCAATTCTAGAGGGAGCTACACTCAATATACTTACAAAAAAATAGACACCGCATACATTAGCAATTGCCACAAGAGTTTTTTTTTTGGGTCAGATCGCGTAAATATAAATGTGTCGCTAAATCTTGACTTAAAGCTTTCGTGACTGCAGGAGTTCATATTCTTGGGTCTTTCGGTAAAGTCACTTAGAACAAAACGTGTCAACTAGTTACTACTTCAGCACACCAAAGTGTTGGAGAGTAAACCCACAGCATTTACAATTCGAGTACAATTCGAGCACGACGTTTCACCCGTAATTACAACCAGTCTCATCACTCTACAGCCAGAATCGCAATTTGCCAGTCAGATCTCAATTTTTTTTTTAATGTACACTTAAAACCTATTTCTTTCACGCATTGGCTGGTTGTCCACATTCACAATGGACAGGCTGAATGGTGAGCGAGTGACTCTTGAGACATGTGCACCCTCTTGTCCTGGGTGCCTTAACCCCCCCCCCCCGCGCGACTGCCACCTAGCCCTCTCATCAAGACAGGCTCGGCACAGTGCAACCATTGCGGCGTTTACTGACCGCGAGCGGGTCCAGGTTTGTTATTTCCTCACCCCCAAACGTGGAAATGAACACGAGCCCAGTTGGCAAATAAAAGTATTTGTAAAACACACACACTGATAAGAAAAGTGGGTGTCTACTGAGGCTAAGGGACCTGGCATCAAAGGCTTTTGAGCGGATATGGATTAAGGTAATTTTTGGGTGCATGGAATTCGGTTTGTAAAAATTTTCGAGAGGTACAATGATTTTTTTAAAAAGTTGCCCATTCCATCCATCACGGTACACCCAGTTAATATTTTAGAGTACACCGGCACATTGCTAAAACGCTCAGATATATTCTTCATTATCATAATATTTCATGAGCAGACAAGCAGTGCTGAGTGGGACGTGAAAATTAAGGTAATAATGAACGCTTGTGTGGATACCAACACACTGCGAAATCTGAATACACGGCCCCTGTTGTCACGCATGATTTCTTAAAACATTTTCAAGCCCAACGATTTCTCACCTCAAAACCATTATCCACGGTCAAAGATTTAAATCTAACCAATTCTCTCCAAAATTACATATCAAGGAGCCTCTGGCTCGTGAATACATGGGGCTGTTTATTCAAATGAAAGGGGGCTGGGCTTGCAAACATGGACGGAGGAGCGGGGCTGATGAGAGCTGGCGGCTGGAAGTGGCCATTGCTCTTACCGTGCCGTACGTCCAGCCCATCTCGATCTTGTTCATGGCCCACAGCTCGTGGATGTTCTCGGCCAGCTTGTTCCGAACGCGCTCAAGATGAGGCAGCAGCGCAATCTGCAGCAACATCATTCAAAGTCAAAGCATCACTGCGTTGAACTGAGACCCATTATCGTGAAGGGAATGTCCTCGCCTGTAAGATCGGTAATTTTCCAGCACTGATTCGGGCAGGCGTGACTGCTGCTGAGACGCTGCGAGTCGAAATCGGTCCAGGGTTTGATTGTCATCATATCAATGCTGCTGAGATTATGCACTTCCGTAAGGCCGTGCAGCTCATGGGTTGTGCAGGAAAAACTTATAACTTTTTTTATGTGGAGACACAGATACACGAAGGCGACATATTGTCTGCTTATTTATAAATCCAGAGTACCTCTGTTCATAGGGAAGCATCGTGTCCAGTGGCAGCCCTGCTGAGGCAGCAAGTGAAAATTCCACATTCCTATGGCAGTAACAAGTTTCTGCAGAGGACTAACCCTTCGTTGAATTCCCACCAAATGGTGCTCATTTTTCTTATTCCCAGAGGGATGATTCTACAGTGTTCACAACCCTGCGACTGTGAGTGAAGCGCTCTTCCGCCAGCGTCACCCGGCTGGATAATGCAAGGGGAGAATTAAACGATTTCCGGTACAACCCATGAAACAATTAAAAAACCTGGTCATGGAATTTAGGACGTAGAGTGACAAAAGCTCCATCCTGCTTTGTAGAATTGCTGGAAAGATAGTGAGCAGCGAGCTATAATTTAAGGCCAACAGTTCTGAAATGTGCACGTCTGTGTGTTGATCTGACAAAAAATATTGTTGAAGAGAGTACGTGTGAAAATCTGTTGTACTACTGTCCAACGTTTGTGCATTATGCATGGATTATTTTCAAAACGTCACTGCTAATGTAGTGTACGTGCATCACTTAAAGTGAGCATTGTGCGCATATTCATGTTGTCTGAACGTTATGCAACTTCACGAGCAGAACAAGCTGCTTTTGGTCGGCAATGGTGTACGTAGCATTGGTCATGAGCTGTGGGGCGTGTGGACAAAACTTGATGCAAGAGGTTAACGCCATCTGCCAAAGCCTTTGACAGTGATGAGAATGGAATTGCCACTCATCTTGTTAAGTAATAAACTACTTAGTGGCATAACAAATATAATTGTACCACAACACGGATGGGGTTTTGGATGCCATATGTTGGAATGAGATCATTGATCTGATTACTTCGACAAAGGCATCGGTGTCACGGCAAGTGTTTATGCGCGCGTGTTTGGGTTGAACAAAGAGGAATTGGCCATTAACCCTTTCCCAAGCTACTTTCTAGAAGTGCTCTCTAAAGCTCCCTGTAATGGATTCCTCCAGTCTAAATAAAGATTATCATTCTGGAAGACCTTCCACTAGCAGTGGTGTGAGCAAGAAATTGCAGTACTGCACCATTACCATTGTGGTGAGCATCCTAAGAAAGTAATTGGCCAATAACACAAATTGTTAATAAAGTGAAGTCAAGCAAAGGGTGCCACGGTGGCAATATGTTTACTACCTCACCTAGTATACAGAAGGTTGTGTGTTCAATCCCGACCCCGATGCCTGTATATTGGAGTTTGCATGTTTGTGTGTAAGTACGCATGTTGAACTTCTTTCGCACCGTACGTAGCCAACCATGCCAATCGGAGCTGAGGGGAAGGACAACAAAATGTGGATTTTTATCCAGGCCTTTCCGGTTTTTCCCTCCACATTTACAAACACGCGTTTGAAGCATTTGGCCACTCTAAATGTCCACGCGATCAGCCGCTTCGTCGAGCTGCCATTTGCAGGCAGGTCGCTTCTGAGAAAGAGCCACATCAGCTCAAGTGGGACTCAGCTGCTAAAGTAAAAAAAAAAAAAATAGTTCCAGCGACAGTTTATTTCATCGCGCGGCACGCGCATCACCTGGCTGGTGTCGACGGGCACGGGCGTGAAGGCGGACTGCTTGAGCGACACGGTGGGCCCCAGCAGGTCGCGCGTGCCGTCGTGGTCGTGCTTGTACACCTTGACGTGCTCCACGCGCATGCGGTCCTTGGGCAGCAGCGCCTCGAAGCAGGGGGCGTAACCCGCGGGAGGGAGGAACTTGAACTCGCCGTGACGGCCCCCCAGCAGGAACCGCACACTGCGCGGGGTAAAACACCGCCGGCGCGCAGTGCGCGGCAGGATGCGATTGCTCCGTGAGTCATTCAATAAATCGATCGACGCTTCTGTTGTGCTCTGTGTTTGCAAAGAGAGTTTAAATGAATATATATGTATATCTCGAGGGTGCTTTTCAAATGGACTAAAAAAAAATCTAAACTGAAGTACGAATACTTTATTAGTCACAGTTTTGTTATCGAAATTCGTTTTTTTTTATCAACTAAAAATAACATATTTACAAACCGTAGTAACAAGCTCACACATTGCAATATAATAACCACTCCTATCACGTAACACCTTTGCAGCTTCTAACAGGGGGCCAGCAAATGTAATACTGCTCTCCTCCAGATGATGTACTGCGCAGCATTGCTGGACAGCTGGTGCATGTTAAATGTATCAATTGTACACACATCTTTTTAAGTATTATTACTATTTAACAACTACTACAATTTTTGTAAAAAAATTTTAGGACAGCTTTTAACATTTCTGCCAGGCTTATATTTCTATGGAGGCAGTGTGCAGGAGTTTACAGTTGGAATCCCACCACTCTAACAGTTTTACAGCAGCATGCTATCTGCATGCATGTTCCCCAGCCACCTGTGCTGTTAACACCATTCCCTTGATTGCAAGTCCAGGCTTAAGGGGTTTTCCTTTGCCTGGGACTCTCTCTATACAATAAATATGCCCACTATTTCCATACAGTATGTTGCCAAAAGGTGAATGGCAAGAACGTTGCAATGCCATTCACAAAAGGACATTGAGTGCCACTGCTGTGGCCAAAATCCATAAATGAAAAAAGTGACTTGCAATTAAATTGCAGGAATATTGATAAGAATGTCTTCCACTTCTGCAAAAGGTATGGCTCATCTGAAGGGGGCCGTCTCTACGGTTCTAAATAAGGGAATTGATTAAGTGCACTTTCAAGGCCACAGTGGGTATTGCATTGGGACCCTGGAGTCTTAGTGTTGGGCAGAGAGGTTGTTAATAGGAATGTGTTATCAAATAAATATACCTTTTTGAATTAATTATCTTTACATAAAAAAACACCTTTCATGGGTCTCGCAAGCATCCGCATTCCCCATTTCATGTATAATCTGGGGCTAATGCCAATTACGAAATAACAAAAAATTAGGTTATTAGCTCTTTATTGATTTGTAAGTTAGACAGTCGACAGACGCTCACTAATTATTTATAACCCAAGGGCATCCCACAGAGACACAGAAGCTGCCAAATGCTGCAGTGAAAGTCGCCGAAGCACTGGGCAGGGTTTTCTGTTAAATTATGTCACCTAGTTTTGTTTTTTTGCATTTACATTTCTGCAAAAATAAGTTGGAAAGATGCAGTGAAATCAGCAAGAGCCATTTATAATGAAAACTCTATGGTTACGGTCACACATCAGTTCCATCCAAGGCTGACAACTGTTCTAGTTCGCAAATTACTGTGGTATTCTAGAAAAATACATTATGCAGGATCTTTGAGACTATTTAAAAAATACTACCACTACAAAACAACACCTATAATAATGCTGATAATTGGTTTAGTGTTATTCACGCATGAAATAAAATGTGCAACTATAAACCGAAACACAATAAACTCACAATGAAGTAACACCTAGGCAAGCCTCAATTGAGCTAAATAAACTATTCAAACTGTTCAAAGTATTTGTTTTTTTCAGGAGGGCCCTTCATGGGATATGTATACAATTTCTCAGCGAGTCTCTTTGCATGTGAAAGAAACTGATGTAACCCAGAGAGAAAATAAAAACACAATTCCAGGCCACTACATGCAACATGTGCAATCACGTCTACAGCAATTTGGGAGTCTCTCACGCAAACATGACGATCACGATCTCTATGCGATCCTTCAGCGCTGCCTCTAGTGTGCTGACTACAGACGGTACACTACCATGGCCAGTAAATAAACATTTAAACTACTGCTGGCTGCCTTGCGCCATCATATCGAACTTGGCTGTGTTCCTGGCTCCCGCTCGCCCCTCTAAAAAAATAAAAGCCCGTACACTTTGTAACAGCTTAGGAGGCTGTATGGGACTTGCTTCTAAACGTGGTAGGGCAACCTGTTTTATAATGCACGATGGGAATTGGCAGCCATCATCAAATGAGCACGGTGAGGGGGAAACTCGGCTGTGAAATGGTTGTGGAAACCGTGAGGGAAAGCACAGGCCGAGAGGAGATACAATTAAATCATGGAGGGGTCATTTCATCAACCATCAAGTGTTGAACCCCAAAGGAGACAATTGAAAATGAATATGGTTCTCTTACTCCAGGTTACAGATTGCTTGTCTTAATTTCTTGCCTCCTATCTCTCCCATTTCATTTTTCAAGGGCCCACTCTCACATTTCTTATCCCCTCCTTCGTCTCGCGTTCCCTTCTCGAATCTCTACTTTGCCTCTTTCGGCTGACTTGTCTCGCCAAAGCCTCGTCCTTTCTCTCTTTCTCTATTCACATGCCTTAGGTCTACGTGCACACCTTTGCACAGCATTTGGGCAACCCAGACTAGTCGGTGGGCCACGTGAGCGGCCCTCCTTCTCCTCAAGTGGGCCGCAGGCTTGAAACTGTCCTTGTGCACTAATCATAACCACCCCCCCCCACGCATCACCCTGGAGACACCTAGACCAGGCCACCACAAGGGGCTCCACGGGATGCATGTGTACGGCGGGCTGCAGGTTTCCCACCACTGCCTTTGCATCTCCTGCAATTTGTATTTGAACGTATTGGCAGTTTAAAAAAGCAAATTTTGTAAAAAAAAAATTTTATTTCCCGAGATTCGCAAGCCCAGTCAGAAAATCTTGTGGGGTGCGTCAAAATCAGTTCTTGTGATGTCGAAGCAGTCGGAAGAGGAAAGTTAGTTCAAATTTAGATTTTAGATTGTATTATGCGGACCGGTGTGTTATGCTGCACCGGTGTACTGCCAATATGTCCATTTATTATCTTTTGTGCATTCATGTACGGTTCTTGAGCGTGTGCGTCTATTCCCCTCGAGCACTTTCACGAAAGGGAAATCGATTTGCATTTGGTTCGACTTCGCCACAATTCAAATGATAACACCGTCGCAAAAAAAAAACCATGGCTTAACCCCAAAAAAATCTTCATAAAAGCGGCTCGTCAATGCGAAGAAGCGATGCTAGTCTTCAAGTTTATTTCAGTGCGCGCGGTTGGCAGCGGATCCTTTGTAAAACGATTATGATGACGTACAAGAGTTGTGGCGAGCTGCCAGACTACGACGCAGTCGGGAGCAGCTCCCTCGGTGCGCCCACCTGACACCCGCGGAGAAGCTGACCACGGGAAAGAAGAGGCCGTCCGTGTTGAAATTCTCGAACATGCCCTGCACGGGCTGCCCGTTGATGCGGAAGGAAATGCTGGGAATGTTGAGGTCCAGAAGGCAGCTCACCACGTCGTCCGCGCTCAGGACGTGCCGGTTGGGCGAGCCGACCGCGCGTGCGATGCGCCCTGTTCCGCCACATCGCAGCGCGGAGGGGGGATGGGGGGGGCGGTGGCGAGAGATGGCGACAGCAGCCGGTGAAAGACCCCAGCGAGGGAAACAAAATCAGAATCATTATTTATACTGGAGGAATCCGATTGAGCTATGAAGCTCTTTTTCACAGATGTCCAGTCGGGGCACGGGGTAAGAACGTTACAACAAACAATAACAACACAAAAACATGGTAGGAGTACAAAAACAAGCGAGCAATGTTCCAGCAAGGAGCACACACTCCACAATGTCTGTGTGTGTGCTTATACAGTAGTTCGATTCCCGCTCATGGCCAACATCGGTGACAAATATTTGAACCGGTTGTGGGCCTCCCCTACCTCTACTCAGCCTTATATGAGTACCTGGTGCGGTGAGCAAACATCGGAAATGGGGAGACAAAGGTGATCGGTGCGGTGTCTGCCATACAACCCATTCGTGCGCCGCTCCGGACTTCAAAGTACTCTCCCCAACAACCTTGAGTAGGCTACACGGGTCATATTTTCCCGTAATTGTTCAGCAACTATCTTAACAGTGAGCTCCTATTCACTATTGAAAGGTCACAAAAGTTCAAATCCTGGTTGAGAATTGACTGAACCCATCATTACTCCACGGTCAATAAAATAAGTACCGCACCACTTAGTGGGGAGTCAACAGTCATGAGAAATATCCTCCACTGGTTCACAGCGACCAAGAGAAACGAGTACAGCCTCCGCACCCCCCCCCCCCGCCCCCAACCCCGTATTCACTCGATCACTCACACACACAGCGTCTCCATGGGCGTCTAACTCTTGTGATTGACACGGGCGTGCGTGCGTGCGTGCGCGCGCTCACTCGCCACGGGCCTCCCCAACCCACCTGACCACAGGTGCAGGCCGTCGAAGCCGTAGGAGTAGAGGTCGTCCCCGACGCCGTTACCGCCCCAACCCTCTCCGCCGCCCGGGTACGGGGCGTAACCCTCCCCGTTGGCCCAGCCGACGCGCAGGTGTGTGGGCGCCGCCGTCACGTAGGGCTCCACGCTGTCCACTATCAGCTCGTAGTACCACTTGCGGTACTGAGCCGAGCCCTCGCTCACCCCCAGGTAAATGTTGGGGCGCATGCTGCGGAGGAGGGAGAGAAGAGAGAGCGCCGAGCGAGCGACAAGAGATGGTTGCCATTGAAGGTTATTTTGTTGACGCTTTCCAATCGAGGTGGCAAGCGTTGATTCATTAGATGTGCCCGGCTGTACGTCTGTTTGTCCGTCCCTCCATCTGTTTGTACGTTGTTTGTACGTATGTATGTAGAATAGATATGATACAATATAAATGCAAGATGCACAGTGCGATGCAAAGAGACAAACAGAGATGCAGAGACATATGGAGAAGAAGACAGGAGATGCAGAGAGAGAGAGACACGGTGATACAAAGAGACACACGGAGACTCGGAGACACACGGAGATGCAGAGGCAAACAGGAATATGCAGTGGGCAGCAGGGGAAAGTACAACAAAATTCATTGTTGTATTGTACCTTTATCCTCACAAATCCCGAACCTTCACCCTCCCATACTAACTAGCGTGGTGAAGTATCAAGACTGCCCAAAATTAATTTCAGCAGGCAAACACTTTGGTTTTATTTGACTTATCACACCTATACAGCAGTGTATCTGGTGCCTGTCATGGAAATGTGGAATTAACCACACCACTGGTTCAGGACCAACAACGGAGATTAGCACAACCCGTTAAACACGTAGGCTTTTAGCGAGCAATATTATGCATAATAAAAAACATTTTTGGGTTAGATCACGTAAATATAAATGTGTCGTTCATGCACCACCACCCGACACAGCCAATGAGTAAGGTTTGTAATGTAAACAACACGTGCCAACTAGTTACTACTTCAGCACACCGGTGTGTTGGAAAGTAAACCCACAACATTTACAATTTGAGTACAACGTTTCGCTGGTGATTACGACCAGCTTCATCAGGCGATTTGCCATAACTGCGCAGAAGTGTACCTCTTTCCAATGGTTATTTGAGGCAGAAACTGAGCTCTCTTCATAATCTAAACATACATTCTAAACGTTACCATATTTAAATGCTCAAGCCCCATTGAATAGTGTTACTCTTTAACCAGCCACGTGAGAATCACAGAGAACCTGGTGAGCATGTGCATGTATATATCTTATTTTCTGTGTGAACGCCATTATTCAGGGTGAGCTCATTAAGTCTCATACTGCTTGTTTACAAGGAGCTGTCGTTTGCTTTACTGCAAACGTTTACACAGGACTGCACCATTAAGTCGAGTGCATTCTATCACAATAATCTGCCTTTTACTTTGATTTTGGAGATTACTTACGGAGTTATGTATCATGGGTGAGCAATAGTGAAATAATCTGATCTGTACATCTGTACAAAAGCAGCATCATCAATAAAAATCTGTAAAATAATGAGAAAAGCCACCACAACAGAAAAAAAAAGATCGGGCTGGAAAACCGTACGTTTCAAACACCACGCAGAAAAAAATGTATAAAAATCACTCAAGACGACCACAATGCAGTTGTTCAGGAGCTTCTGATTATTTTCTTGTTGTTGCATAATGAACAAGGGCCGAGTGCTTTTTGTACACGCTTCTGTGCATTGTTTGACATTTAAAAGGATCATCAGTAATTCCAGGAAACCTTTGGTGCAGGCACCCTTCAATGGGAGTCGATCAACTTGATGATCATCTCACAATGCTGTGCGCCCAATGAGGGTTTGAGACACTGGCTCAAGCTTATTAATATCAGCGTCTTAAATCTTGTAAGCTTTTATACAGCTTTTGAAGACGTTCAATGGACATTTCGCAAGTCAGTGTTTCCACGCTCAAATGGACAAACTGAGAGAGCCAAAGGGTGGAACGCGCCCGAGAGGATGTCCACCACATGTATGGGGCGATGGAATTCTGCTCGCGTGCAGGAACTCGTTGCGTGTGTTGCAGAGCTTGAACTTAAAGGTGGCAGATGGCTTCGGGAAGCTTTCCTCCAGCAGTGAATAAGTCATGGCTGATAATAATGATGATTTACGTTTTAGCGATGTATGTGGAAGTTGCTTATTTTTTAGTGATCTCGCTCAAGGGGCTATACATTAAGCGTGCATCAACTTGTGTTTCGAGATTGCACACTTATAAAAGGGAACATTCAAATTATGGGTAGGCAGAACTTTCCACATTCTGAAACAGCACATTATAATGAAGCATATTCTTTTTGGTAAATTAAACTTATTATTTTTTTGTTTTTCTGAAGAAAAAAAATTGGCGCTAAGTTGTATGCTCGATGGGTGGTGGGATAATAAATTTGCACGTGCAGATTTGCCCCAGGGACCTCCAGCAGTCGACTGGGAACACTGTGGGGAAGGTAGTTCCTTTTATTTAGCAAATTATGTGTTTCATGAATTTTGTAATTAATTAGATAAAAGTGCAATAGTCCTGGGACGTGGCTATCCTCTGGGACAATGCCGTGAGTGTAGGTCCGCCCCATGCCTCCAAAGCCCTCAGAAACCAAACACAGCGTTCGTTTCACACATCTGTTGATGCTAATTATGAATATTTTTTTTTTATCTGATCTGAAATGCGATCTCAGTTCTGTACAGGCCACTTTATACATATCTATGTATACATGTAATGCATTTTCAATCTGTTCAGGGACCAACATTTTACTGTTGTTTGCTTATTAATGCTTTTGAAGGTATGTAAACAAATGAAAATTTTACATTTAATAATCCACACCTCCGATTAGCACGGTTGGCTACCTACGGTGCTCAAGAAGTTCAACATACGTTCATACAATATGTGATATTCTTTGGATCTTTCGGTAAAGCCACGTAGATAGATCAAATAATAAAAAATAATAAAAATAATAACTATATCACGACGTTTCGATCACAACACAAGCAATCGTCATCAGGTGAGAAATATCGCGGAAGAGCTGCTGAGAATATATCGTGGGAGCACTGCTAAGATACAATATGTAAATCTCACTTGTCAGTGTTTTCAAGGCACTGAACTATAAAGCAATATCACAAATTTAAAATCAGTCAGCCTCAACACCCTAAATAGGCCCTGCACAAGGGTCATTGCACTGAAAATGAGCTTGCTAAATATGCTCTTCTATTATAATGAAGGTGATGAGGTTTTTCATTTGCACACATAAGGAATTTACGAGGTGCGATATACTGCCCTTTGTCAATCCACAGCTGGACGAAGGCTTCCTCATCCCGTTTTAGTCATGGTGGTTTGTTTGGCCATACTTTACCATTCTGGTCAGAGTGGATTGGTGAAGGTAGAGTCTAAGATGAGTTCAGGATCAATCACCATCAACGGTAGCTGTGGCCACAATTTGAACTCTGGTTTCTGGGTTCATCGCGCAGTACGCTAACAACTGTGCCACTCTTCCACCCCCAATTCCAGGAATTGGGAGCTCATAAATACGAAGCAACACCAAGGTTTTAGGATTACATTAAAATCATGTGTGGATTCTAATAATCGTGCAATATGAAACACGTGTGAGTGCAAGCGTGCCTCTCAATCCACCTGGTAACGTTGTTCACCAGTCGGGTCTGTAACAGGAGGTCACGTCCGGGTAGCAGGTTGTCACAGATAAGGTTTTGGTTGGCCCTGACTGCCACGCCATTACATTCGCAGAGTGAGCACAGCACATCCAGAACCTGCAAGAGCGTTTGCACACACAAAGACAGAGGCACACACGCATGCAAAAAGAGTGTATGCGCAAATTGCGTAGACAGGCAGGCAAACGTTCTGAGATGTACCAGGTGCAAACACGAAAAGAAATATCTTTAGATGGCTGGGTGGCTTACAGAGGTCAGAGCACTGAGATCACTGCTGAGATTCTGGATTTGACTCCAGCAGACAGCCACCTGTGATTACTTGAGGTTCTCAAGTGTAGTGAGCTAATGGTCTCAACCACATCACCAACTGCTTCGTAAACCCCCCACCCACCCCCCCCCCCATCATATTAAATGAGATTTATCTTATAATTTGACGGAGAGTTCTAGTTCTGAGAGTTGTAAAAAGGGTGATGGCACTGATCTACAAGAGTTATAAATGGACATATCACGTAATGACATTTCAAACAAAAATATTTCACTGCACTTTTTACCCAGGCGGGAAGCCTCACAGAGTTTCATGACAAATTTTTCAGGTTCCTACAAGGTTTTCGAAGTAATAGGCAATAGTTTTTTTTTACGTATAATCCCACTGTGCAACAGAGGGCATGTATTTTCACCCTTAATACACCCACAGTAATAATTAGGGTGTTTTTTATTCGAACCGTCAACCCTTGCACCAAACGGCAAACGCGTTACAGCTGCGCCGTGTCACGGCCAAAACGACACTAATAATATACATTCAGATTGCATACTTGATAGGAAGCTAATAGCAAAGTTGCCAGAAAATTAAGGGGGAAAAAACACATTTATATATTTTATATTTTACCTATTCAGCCTTCTATACTTTAGAGGCAAGTCCCGTTGGGCAAGTACCTATTAAGGCCAGCCCACCGTAGAGTGGTAAGTCTAGTGCCATGGATACCCAGCCACCTTGGTATTCCTAATGCTGATATTATTCACACCACATAAAGCAGTCATTTTAGGCCGATATAGCACTTAATGTAGTGGCCAAGACCAAGACCAGACACAAATTGGCAAATTGCATGCATGGCCAGGAATTACATCGAGGTGGCCTGGATCGTAGTGTGTTGTAGTAAGTACTGTAACACACACACACATAAGAGTCGTTTTCTTTGGCACAGTAACATTTTGGCAATAAATAAATATAATTCCTACAATGCTCACTTGAGCTGCAGATAGTTTTAAGATAGAAATGCAAACGTAATTCATTTAAAAAAAATTACAACGCAAAATGAGTAAAAAATATATCGTAAATGTCATTTGTTGCCTCTTGAGCCAACAGTAAGAAAAGGACGTGACTTCGTGAGATGTCCCAAGCAGAAAAAATAATGATGCAATTTCACAGCACAACAGCCAGGGGAGATGTTTTTGGCATGAGTATGAGAATTTGATTGATCTGAATTTGCACTGCAATGATTTAAATGTGCAATTCAGTGCTCTAACAGAAAATGTACAAACCCTTAAATTTCAAGTAACAAAGGACTGCAGAAATATATGGGAAGTTTTTTATGATATTTTATGTATTTTATCTGCTTGTGTTGCTTAGCTGTAATATGGAATATTTTGCCAAGGTTCTGCTGACTTTAGCAAAAAGAACAATGACGTTATATTATGGGCGTCCATGAGGCTTTGCCCTGAGGTGAAGAAGCTCTTTATATTGACTACAGCAGCAGAAAATACATCGGTGCAGCACGTCGAGGGCCTTCTTGCGAGCGCGATGGGCCGCGTTCAGACAAACCGGACTCCACAATTGTCATAGACACCGTCTCTCTCTAATAAAATGCGAGCAAATGTGATTGACGAATGGGCAGCAGTGATACAGAGATAGAAAACGGCCACCGGTCAATGGTAGTTCAGTTCCGTATCACTGCTGCCTGTCAGTAGGTCGCATTTGCTTAAATCTATGTTGATGATGATCTAAGACAAGAGGAGCAGAATGCACTTCTTCAGGAACTGCCGATAGTTTTTGCATATGCGTCGAGGACTTTCGTTTTTTTACACACATGTCTGCGTGTTGTTTGAAATGTGTGGATTTTCCAGCCTGCATTCATATTCTGTTATGATGGGGATTTTCCCAACGTTTACAGGTTCGATTTGATAACAGCACTTCTTTATTGCCACGGATTGCCCGACAGCTCCATAACTGGTCTTTCCTCTCCTTTACTCCCCACAATAATTTCTCCCAGATGCCCAGCGCCCTGCGTTATCATGCTCCTCTCTCGACCTCTGCTTCTGGTCATCCCCAAGCTTCCTCCTTTTGTGCCCCTCACACTCCTCCTGATAGACACCTCGACCCGATCCCACCAAATCTCTGCCCCTCACACTCCTCCTGATAGACATCTCAACCCGATCCCACCAAATCTCTGTCCCTCACACTCCTCCTGATAGACACTTCAACCCGATCCCACCAAATCTCTGCCCCTCACAATCCTCCTGATAGACACTTCAACCCGATCCCACCAAATGTCTGTCCCTCACACTCCTTCTGATGGACACCTCGACCCGATCCCATCAAATCTCTGTCCCTCACACTCATCCTGATACACACTTCAACCCGATCCCACCAAATCTCTGTGCGTCACACTCCTCCTGATAAACACCTCGACCCGATCCCACCAAATCTCTGTCCCTCACACTCCTCCTGATAGACACTTCAACCCGATCCCACCAAATCTCTGTCCCTCACACTCCTCCTGATAGACACTTCAACCCAATCCCACCAAATCTCTGCCCCTCACACTCCTTCTGATAGACACTTCAACCCGATCCCACCAAATCGCTGTCCCTCACACTCCTCCTGATAGACACTTCAACCCGATCCCACCAAATCTCTGCCCCTCACACTCCTCCTGATAGACACTTCAACCCGATCCCACCAAATCTCTGTCCCTCACACTCCTCCTGAAAGACACTTCAACCCGATCCCACCAAATCTCTGTCCCTCACACTCCTCCTGATAGACACCTAGACCCGATCCCATCAAATCTCTGCCCCTCACACTCCTCCTGATAGACACCTCAACCCGATCCCACCAAATCTCTGCCCCTCACACTCCTCCTGATAGACACCTCAACCCAATCCCAACAAATCGCTGTCCCTCACACTCCTCCTGATAGACACTTCAACCCGATCCCACCAAATCTCTGCCCCTCACACTCCTCCTGATAGACACCTCAACCCAATCCCAACAAATCGCTGTCCCTCACACTCATCCTGATAGACACCTCAACCCGATCCCACCAAATCGCCTTTCCAGCCTTTACACCTCCCACTCGGCACTCCTCCGTACCCTGCACCGCATCCACTTTCGATCGTCCCCTCGCCTGTCCCTCATTAAACTATCCACTCGTTGCCCCTTCCAACTACCTCGACATCTACAATCCCACCATTATCTCAATTTTCATCACCTGCACCCTCACCATGAACACCGATGCACCACATTACCGTAATCCATAACGGCACCCTTGTTCACCATCAGCCTTATCGTGACATTTATTACCCTCCACACATCCTCAGTTGTATTATCATTTACATCATCAGTCACATCACCTCCACTTTCCTTTGTAACCACCCTATCGCATCCACTCAATTGGAGGTGTCAACAATCAAAATGTTATACCATTGAAATGTCGTACCAATACGAGTAGTGCCCTCATGAATAAATTGAACTGTTTACGTTTCATCATTAGACCTCCTTTTGCCAGTACCAAAATATAATAAAAGGGTTTTCCCATTTTTTTTTATTTTAAACAATCATCATCACTGATGGTATGTTTACTTTCTGGGACAAGAAACACAGAGGTGTAACAGCAAAGCACGGAAGGGGGAGGGTAGCCCAGCGTGTAGCAATTATAGTGATCGTTTACCGCTGGGCACCACATTGACTTCTCGCCAACAGAATAATGACTCGAGCCCGCAGCTAACACGGCCGGTAAGTGACAGCCGCCCCGAGAAAACTGGCGGTGCGTATCGTGGCAGAGCGCCGAGTTAGAATGGGGTGTGGGGTGAGCTGGAGGTCCACAAAGCTCACCTCCAGGTCCTAGGCTCCCACGTCTGAGGACTCATTCACGCGCCTCCTCCACGACAAGTCGAAGCACTTGACTCTACCGTGCATGCCGGGCGGCACTGTGGCCGGGCTCGCAGAAGGTGGCCGCTACATCTCCCAGTCAGGGGTTGAGCGTGCCCATTCCGCCACTTTTTGAGACGTCAACAGTGATGAACTTGTGGAAACACTCGTCTCTGCCGTGACCAAAGTAGGATTTGCACTTCGGCCTTACGGGCGACAGCGGAAATGTATGCGTGATTTTGAACTTCCTTTACACTGTACGTAGCGAACCGTGCTAACCGTAGGTGAGGAAATAAGCAGCATTGCTTATTTGAGTGTGGAACTATTTCCATTTATACAGTTTCAACAGAACACTTAATAAAATTTGGCTAATTTCTTTGTTGAGCGCTGTATATTTTAGCCTAAGATTTTCTAAGACTAAAATATCCACCGCACTTCTAATTGAGGCCCCTCAAATAGAAGTGCGACATCTGGGAAACGAGACCCAAGGTATTTCTCAGAAGCACACGCCACCCCGCTTGCAAAAATGTACCGTGGTTCCTGCACCATAATTTATCCAGCATGATGAAGTGCCTCATTTAGAATGAGATGTGTGCATCTCAATAGAGCTACGATATATAGAGAGGGGGAAACATGGCAAATACTGATGCTTTACTTAATCTTACTTTACCAACATTCATACGTATAAAAAAATCCTCCACGAAAACCGTGCTACTGTGCATTTTTTTGTAAAGCCATTTGTTTTCTTACATCTCGAAGGACCAGAAAAAAACATTTGCTATGATTCAAACCACAACTCCTCCGCCTTGCCCTGACAACAGTGCCAATTCACATCGCCTGTGTTACCGCCATGGGGGCCGTCCATAAATGACGTCACGCAATTTTGGACGATTTTTGACCCCCCCCCTCGTCACATGGTGTAACAAAAAGTCAGACCCCCCCTTCAAATATGACGTCACAAAGCTCTGCCCCCCCCCCCCAAAACCATATTTCCATTTTGAAAATAAAACATGCTTCAAATGGCTTTAAACTATTGTCACTGTAGTGCGTATTTAATGTGGCGCTGCACTCTGATGTTGTAGGAGTGTTGCAATAACAATTAGTGTTGTTATAACAATTCTATATTTATTTAAAGTTACGCATTTTGATGTGACGTCGCATTTCTCAACCCCCCGCCCCCCCCCCATCGTCACACATCGTCACAAATGTCTGAACCCCGCCCCCCCCAGGTGCGTGACGTCATTTATGGACGGCCCCATAGCAGCATTGCAAACAATAAAGTTAAGCTCTTCTTAGCAACGCAAAGGTGACAGGAATTCCACACATCACAACTCTCTCGATACCACATTGCAGGCTCTGCCACTCAACAGCAAATATCTACGTGGCTGCAGATAGACGGTCCGATGCGAATCCACGCTTCGGGGTCGACATTTCATCTAGAACACTGGACTCACAACTGGAAGGGTTATGAGTTCAAATACGATGGGGTCGAATCAGTCGATAATCAACTTTGGTTTGATAAAAACAAAAGCACTACTCTGTGGGAAGCCAACATTGGTTCGCCCAGAAAGAAAATTGCCCTTGCCATGAGAATGCAATTTTTTTTACAGATATAGTCGCAGTGTTAAGTTAATAAATACTCCCAATAATTGATTGCATCAGCATGATCATCATAATTTTGAGTCTGTTTGGTTGAATTAACAGATTACAACATTCTGTTCCATCTGCTTCACTTTTCTTTATCTCTCTCCCCCATTTATTCCAATTGTGCTGTCGGCGTCGTGTTCAAGTGAAAAAGAATCAATTCGGAAATCTCACGCAGAATTCCACTCCATGTGTCATTGGGTGCAATTCTGGATAATCCCATGCACTCCGCTATGAGATTATCTGCAGTATAAAAAAGTCAGACTTTTGATGTTTTAGTTTTAATTCCTTGTGCTAATTTTTACCAGACACGTTTAATGGGATGGCTTTTCGTGCAGTTGTTGGTAAAACCAGGCTGAGACTCATCAACTTGCTGCACTTGAGAACCCATTGTTACACCGGCGGCTGTCTGGATTCAAATCCAGGTTATCTGACTGTGTCGCTCAGTACTCTGAGCTTTCAGCCTCCCGACCACCCCACAATGCCTTTTTCAAAGACATATCAAAAAGTATCCATCATTGTGAAGTACATTATAATGCCGACTCGCCTGAATCCAGAAACCTTAATGAACACGGACCTATAACAGAAGAACAACCTTAACAAGTGTGCTATCAATTCGTATGAGCACATTTCTAAACCGTTATGTTCATTTATGGACATTCTTGATAAATTCTGTTCTCTTTATGCCATTAGTTTCATGCTGGGGGGAACGTGCTAAAAATCCCCCCGAGGTGCAAGCGGTGGGGGTGGGGGGGTGTGAAAACACCCAATGTGGCCTCCTGCTTAATGGAACACGATTGCTGATTTAAAGTGTCTCTCCACTCGCAGCACGGGCACTGTGAGTGCAAAACACCCGGGATCACCGAAGCGTAGCTTAACAGCACTTTCCCTTATCGTGGGGCCCATCCCAACTCTCATCTCCCGAAAATGCAATTTAGCACGCACATCCCCCAATCATATAACCAGTGCTGCGTGCAGAGACACGTGGAAAGCCAGCCTCATTCGCCAGCAACACACACAGCGTGCTTCATCCCAAAGCCACCGGCATAGTGCAGTGGTAGAATAAATATTAAGAGAAAAAACAATATTACAAATTGAACAACATGGTTACATAACATTCCCCGAGATTGTCCATGGCGTGGCACATTAAACTACGCGTCGCACGTAGCGATGGTGCTGCATTGATAACCTCGGCAATGGATTAAACGGCGAGCAGAACTGGCGAGATTCCCGCATACGCACACGCCCCTGGTTGTCCGTTGAGATGCATGACCGCTACTCTCCAGGCATCAACACCATTGGGGATTGTAATTTTAATTGTTTTTGCTCCATCCGGAATTGGCACTCTCAGGAGCATTCTCGCCGCAGCACAACTCTGAGTTGTTTGCTCGAGTCATCTGTAAGGGGAGCTTCGCCGCGGCTGTGGTTGTCGGAGGCAAGAAGAGAAAGGGAGGTGGGGGAGAAGAGAGTGCTGGAGGGTTTGGGATTTGGGTTAGGAGCGGTTGTGAGGAGAGGCGGGGGGAGGGCGGGGGGCTGGAGTGAAAAAAAAATGGTTATCATGCGGAAGACATAACGCAGGCACGGCACGCGTGGATTAAGTGCTGCTGCCCCTCGGCTACAGTCCCAGGATTTATCGGCACTGCGGCTGCGGGGGGCCTGCCCCGCCCGTCGGAAGCCTCCACACACGCGCGTCTGTGCGCGCACGCACGCACAGACGCGCGTGTGCGCACAGGAGGCACGCGTGCTCAACACAGACGATCGCACACACAATGCGGCTGTAACAGCGCTGCCCCGGAGGGGTTGGAGGGGAGGGGGCCGGCCTTTTTGCTGAAGCGAGGCTCGCAGACGGCAAAGCGAATCTGCGAGGCAGACGGCCGGGCAGGCGGGCGAGAGAGAGAGAGAGGGAGGAGGAGGAGGGCGCGCCGAGGTGTCGTCGGAGCCACGATCGCGTGAGCGCGGGCGCGCCACGGCAGATGAAAATCGGTGGCCGACGTTAGCGAGGAAAGGGGGCAACGTGCGCGTGGAAATGCAAGAAGGTCACGCGCTGCCAAGAGAGCTTGCGGCAGTCACTATTGGGTACACCTGTTGGGGTCCAGTAAAAATCGAATTTTCGAAAGAGCAGGTGGCGATATAAATAGTGTTAATATTACGAGGGCTAGTAACCCTATATTTAGCATGTGAATCCACGCCGAGTCTCAAGACTCGTTTTCAGGAGGGTCCTACTTCAATGTATTTTGTCCATTTCCCTCGAGAGTAATGTGGAATGACAACGGAGTGCCTGTACATTCGAGGAGATAAACAGTACAAAATATTTTTTTAAACATCAGCAACCCACTCGCTGAGGCTGCTATAGACTGCCCACAGCCATAGCCCAAGAGATTTTGAGTCTCATTCCCCTGATAGAAATCTGCATGACCCACGAACACCGCTTTATTAGACGCATATACCACCACGCCCGGCGAACGTGCCACGGAATATTCCACAGCAAATTTAAACAACAGTCAAACGATGCAGTCACCCCATTGCAGACACGCTCCGTGTTTGTTTATTTTCACTGGGAACTGCGGTGCGCTGCAGTTACGCGTTATTTTTTTTTTATTGAAGTACCAGGCCCTGGTTGGTCACCTCCTCTCTCACTACGCGACACGACGCACACGCACCGCAAACTCCCCACTAACGGCACCTTATGGTTGCGTCCGTGCTTGTCCAGGAGGGAGATGATGGAGGTGATGTGAGCCTCCTTGATGATGTTCAGCGCCTCGGGGCTCTCGATGAGGACACAGTGAAGCACCTCCAGAATGCCTGGCGCGGATACATTTTGTCGACATTGAAGGAATTTTACTTGGGAATCGCCGACGATCAACGCGTTGCGTTTTTTTTTAGTTTTTTTAAAAAAGGTCAGCAAGCACAACGGTGCCGCTGTGTCTCCATCGAAATATTGAACTCCATCCGTGTGTGCCGACTGAATCCTAATCGGTGCATTTAGCTGTCCACAAATTGTCGTGTGAAAATTAGTTCTTTGTTCCGTCACTTTGCAAAGGTATCTTTAGTTGCAGTGCAAAATTGAGACGGGTAAACACAACCTATTTTATTATATTTCCTCAAAATTGCGATTTCACTATTGGTGTCATGGGATGCACGGGACTGTCCAATGAAACACTGAGAATGGTGCTCATCTCTATCGCAGCCTTGAGCCAGTGGTGGAAATTCCACATTTATATGGTGGGGGCTGTCTCTCCAGGGGAACACTCAATTTTGAATTCTCACTCTTCATAGCATAAAGGTAGTTACAGACGTATATGTCGAATGAAATAAGCATCGAACACACGGCACATTATGGCTGGATTTAATGTACACAATAAAAAGGCTCACGAGTTTTCTATGGCTATAAAAATCAACAGCAATAGACAGAATTTTCACAACACAAATATTAATCGTCTTATGATGACAATAAGAAGAACATTTGCAAACCTCTACTTTCCTTTGTATATAAAGCTTGAATGTCTCTACCGTGTTTCACCTGGCTAAAAATATATATTTTCCGGCAAAGAGCACACCCACATCTTTATAAATACGCAACATTGCAATAAGATGATTTTTTTTTTAATGAGCATGGCACACACGGCCCAGTAAATGGGATTAAGCAGAAGTCTGGAAGTCTAAGAGGTAATTACTGTATTAAAAAGTAGTTGGGAGTCACTTGGCCCGAATGCTGATTTCTAGTTAAAGCATTGTTACATTACATTCCTCCCGGGAAACGAAGTCAAATATAGCACTCATTGCTCAATTCATGACTTTTCCTTAATTTCAATACGACCACAATCACACCACACCATTAACCGGTGTCGTTAAGGGTCTCCACTTACAGTGCATTAAGGCTCAGCAGTTAACCCAGGCAATGGATGGAGGGAGGGAGTCTCTCTCCAGCAGCAAAACTAAGAGTGACGTGGAGGTGGTGATGAAGAGGAGCCCATTGGGGCCTGGTAAAGCAGTTCAGGTATAAGGCCATGCTGTGGCTCGGGCAATGTTTGTCGAAATGGCACAGAAACTACGATAGCAGGCCACGTTAATTTTAACCCAATACGTGTTTACGTAGATAAAGACCTTTATTTAAATGCAGGTGACAGGTGCAGTCAAAACACAAGATAATGCCTACAACAAGAAGAGATTTTTGGGGGTAGATAAATCACCCAATATGTGATTAAGGCTACTGTATTTATATTTACACTGGACTATGGCACGCCGGTTAGGCTTCTTATTAAAGTGTGAGTGATTCGGCAAACAACAGAAGTTCAGCAGATATACCATTGCTGATCACAGCAGTAGCTCTCAGAGGTGGTGAATGTGACAGTGGTGGAGACTTATGAGGTGCTCGGGGTTTTTCCCTTTTTGAGGATGGGTGAAATTGCAGCTCCCAGGAGGGTTAGTGTCATGTAGCTGAGCAAGCTGATGTATAATTGATGTAGAGAACATTTTCACATCGAGTTTCTTAACGGCCGTCAAAAAGATTACGGAGATTTTATCATTCGATTCGAGGTCATTCATCTAATCAGGTGACTGAACTTACAAAGCTGAACGAACACAGTGTCAATAGTTACATGGGAGAACATTGTTGTGTTTAAAAAAAAAATCATAACCATTTGAGCACTTCATACATTTGGCTGTTTAACACCAGCACATTGTAGTATATTGCAAATGATGTATTTGCCTCCCCTGTGCAGCAGCCTTCGAAGTTGACAGCGAGCGTCCACACTCTCCTATCCAGACATCACAAGGGGACCCCAGGAACACCGAGCCATCAACCCCATGAAACACTACTTTGTTAGGAGCGAGGCTCCCAAGTACCTATCGACAATAAAAATATATATACATTCTTAGTACGCCAGAGCTGATGTCCTATTGAGTTTACCACATAACATCAACTATATTAAGCACAAACAACATTTCTCGGTGGTCCACTAAAGTGCATGTTATGTTCGTATTAATTATCTTACCAAAATGCATATCGTTTATATACATACATTATTTTTCCCCAGGGCAATACAGGCACATGTACTATTTGGGGAATAGGCCAAGCGTGCCAGTCCAAATTAGTCAAATTTGAAAAACTGCTCAAGGAATTACTTCATTGGGTAAGGCCACGTGGCAAACATTGCAACCTCCTGGCAGACAATACCCATCTGTGAAACATCTCGTCACGGTGATGAGATGTTAACTCCTTCGCCTGGTATGGAGGACGTTGTGGGTTCAGTCCTGCCCCTGACACCCGTACAGTATATTTGGAGTTTGCATGTTTTGCCCATGGTCGCGTGGATTTTTCTCTAGGTATTCTGTTTCCCTCCACATTTAGAAACATGTGCTTAGATTATTTAGCTGCTATACATTTCCACATGATAGCCGCTTCGTTGAGCTATCATGTGGCGAGGTTGCTACGAAAGAGCTATATAACTCAGTGGGCCTTACCTGGTAAAATAAAAAGCTTTTAGTAATCACCTTGCACTTTAAAAACGGGGCAAATAATACAAGAACTAAAATATTCCTATTTTTTACAAACACAACAGATATATAATAAAAAAAAATGTAAGCACGCACATACATACATTGTATAACTGTTAATTAAAAGCATATATAAACTATCAGGGCTGGTTGTGATGTAAACATGAAACACAGTATTGACACTTTGTAGTCGCATTGATAATATAATTTGTGCCCTCCTATCACGGCACATACATCGGCCAGGTGGCTCAGTGGTAGAGTGACTGGCTCACAATCGGAAAGTTGCGAGTTGAAATCATGGTTGGGGATTAACTCAGCCCATCATCCCTCTGGGGTGATTAAAACTAGTATCACTTAGTGGGGAAATAAACATTGGTTGTCCTGTATGTACGTATGGAGAACATATTTTGTACCTTATGTAGCCAACCCATCAATCCCTGTATACACCCGCGAACTCCATAACAAAAAAAAACTTCACAAGACATATTGGCATGATGTCAATTTAACTTTTCATGGCTTTTGCTTAAGGGGAATCAAACATTATCCAGTGTTTGCTGGATAAAGTGTGCGTTTCAACCACGCATCGATCAGACCACCCCTTTGGGCGGTCGCAGGAGCCAGTGACTGGCAGCCAAACATCCTCCATTACCCTGGTGCAGACCTCCAGGCATGTCACGCCAATGCCATTCATTTCCCCCCATATGCTCCCCCCCCCCCCCCTACCACAATGGCCTTTGTCTGTCTGCCAGCGCAGTGCACGTTTGTGTGAATTATTCATTGCGGTGTCATTTCAGAGGTGCAGCTGCAACATTTAATAGTTGTGAGAACCGTAGACAGATTTGTGCTGGCAATGGAGGAGGTGAAAGCGCTGAAAGCGCTTTGATTTATCGGAGCTGGGGACGTGTCTACTCTGTGAGTCAGCGTCACACACACACACGTCAGCACACAGCACAAGGCACAGCGGTGGACCAAAACAGAGACTCATTAAAAGATAAGCCCTTTTGTGAATCTGTGATTGGTTGTCCTATGAAGAGACCATCTCCCTGCCATAGGAATGTGGAGTTGTAACAATTGGCTCAGGGTGGTCAATGGAGATGAGCACTATAACAATGTTTGTTTGAGCAGCGGGCACATTCAATTCGGAACATTATTGCGTGCCGTAATGATAAAAAAATTTAAACCAATTTCACGAACAATATGATGTTTGTAAAAGGGCTCATTACTTTTCATTACTCGCAGAGAAATTATTATTGTTGCTAAAAAGTTATTTTATGGCCAATTCCTTTTGTTTTACATACTTAGTTTTGTTTGCATTGTGCAAAAATTCAATTATTAATTTATAACAAATGTAAGCATGAATTCCATAATCAAACCGTTTAAATTGTGTATCTTTGTACTTGTACATGTCATTACATTGTTGTATACGCAGTTTTGAACTAAATACTGCATTCTGTTGTTCACTACAAATTATTTGTATGTTCTAAACTTACATTTGTGTCACCTCATCCTATATTTGGCACTATTTGTATTCTAACCTTGGTCTCCCAAACAAAGTATCCTAATTTATTTTTTTATTTAAAGCTTTTGTGACTGCAGTAATTCATAATCTTAGTTCTTTCGGTAAAGTCACGTTGAAGGGAAACAATATAATAATATATATAAAACAATAAAAATTCTCACGACGTTTCGACCATAACACAAACGGTCGTCTTCAGGTGTGTCGGTTTGCATAAATTAATTTATTTTTAAACGTGATATTTATTTATTTATAAAAAACGTTAGCGCCACGCGCAGCGATTTGGCAGTTTATTTAGAAGGACTAGTCCATCTATATTCTGAAAAGAGGAGGGGGGAGACGAATTTTTTTTTTTTAATGTATGCTGTCTGAAAGCCACTGTAAGCGTGAACAATCAATTAAGACCTGAAATGGTTTATCAAATCTTTCCAATGATTGCTAAGACAGAATCCATCTTCTCGGTTGAAACATTTTCGTCTCCCCCCTCCTCTTTTCAGAATATAGATGGACTAGTCCTTCTAAATAAACTGCCAAATCGCTGCACGTGGCGCTAACGGTTTTTAATAAATAAATAAATCGCACGTTTACAAATAAATAAATTTATGCAAACCGACACACCTGAAGACGACCGTTTGTGTTATGGTCGAAACGTCGTGAGAATTTTTATTGTTTTATATATATTTTATTATTTTATTGTTTCCCTTCAACGTGACTTTACCGAAAGAACTAAGAATATCCTAATTTATGTTTCTTAAACATAATGTATACGTTTACGTGTAACATTCTTTAATAAAATGCTGCAAACGGAAAGGTACACATTTATATTTTACCATACTTTACGTCTACATTCTAGAAATGTTATATAGCATGGCTATAATGCAGAGTCAAAGACATAAGAATTAGGCCCTCAACACTCAGAGCAATGAACAAAAATGACCACAACAAGGATCATCCATCAACTGTTAAATTTCACAATATTTTTCACAAAGTATAACATAAGCCATTCCTCATTGCATATATTAATGACATAAATCGTTCAACACTGGACTTCATTTAATTTAATTTGATATACAATAAGTAATAGAGAAGTAAGCAGACATAACCATGATGGCCAAGCCCACTTTAAGTCCTCCCCTATGATTAATGGAGTGTCGTTTTTTGTATAATTTTCTTCACCAAATTAAGCTCTGCTGAGTGGTGATGGCACATGCTTGCAGAGGCGAGGGTTGGTAGATCGTGCAAATGTTGTGAAACTCCCCTCCCGTGGGCGTCGAGGTAGTGCCATACCCTGGCTCGTAAGGAGTAGGCGGTACAGCAAAATGCGGACATATCATTTGTCTCTTTTATATGAAACAATTTTGCTCCCTCACATGCATACGTATTTTTTTCCCCCAGCTGCTCCCGTTTCCTCCAACGTGTATAAAAACGTATTTATTGGCTTAAAACATCTTAATATATCGACGACTGCAGGGCTTGGGCGATTGTTGGTGCCTGCTCACTGTCTGGCAGCCTACAAGATTGGTCCATGGTTCCTCAGTGATCGTGAGATGCAATTTACATAAATGATGCTATATAAAACGAAACATCATTATTATTAGTGTTAAGTGTCTCGGTGTGAACGGGAGTGGGTTGTTTTAGCACTGCGCACCTGACGAGGCTTCCAGTCTCTCCAGCCGACTAACCAGCCAGTCCAGGGAGCTGGAAAACTGGGCGCAGTTCCTGTGATTCCCACGAATCAGGGCAGCTGGAGGCAGGGACATGGGGAAAAGTGACACAGAACAAAGAGTGCAAGAAGCAAGTCAAAGTATGTTACACAGAAACCAGCAGTGCAAATCAAAGGCTTGTTACTGCTGTGGTTCAGAAACAAGCGTTGCATACATTTCATTCAGGAATAGGTGATAACATTCTCCACAATCCATCTTCCCACATCAACCAACATTCTCCAAAAAGCCAAAGTGCTTTCATGCCCTAATCAAAATACAGTAGTGTTTCATTTCTGTTGGTAGCCCTGCATCATTGGGGGGCAACGTCACATTACTATGACAGGGATATGTCCATCTATTTGACAAACACTGTTGAGTTTTGACGCTGATGGATATTATATCAGCCCTAAGGTCGATGATGGGCTGTGCTGATGCCCAAGTGGGATTTGAATTTACGACCTTCCACATGCGAGTCGAGCACTCCACAAGAAAGCCTCCTGGTCGGGCGGTGAGCAATGACCTCACTTGTTAGCTGGGCGACGTGAAAATCAGACCAGGTCTGGGACGCCAGGACCAGAGACTTGAGCACTCCCACGTTCGGTAATTCGAACTACTTTCCCTTATTAATGCTGCTCCATCAGCTTTGTTTTATCTTTGCTTTCTACGAATTGTGCTACGATGGTCCATTACCGAGCACTCTTCTATTTCATCGGCAGAACCCTCACGGACAGCAGAAGCTATACATCTTGGCAGAGATCCATATTCAATCACCACTGGACTTTATCTACCATCCAAGCAATGCTTCAGTCAACTTTCCATGGAAATAGGAGTGGCCAAAACGGTTTCAGAATATCTATGTAAATATTTAACCTCTGAAAAGTCAGACATGTTTTTCATTCACTGGGAATATGGTGCGTATTGTTTTACTCGTATGTGAAAAAAATGTTGATAGTTCTGATACATTTTAGAGCTCGTGAGTATTATCATAATTAAACCTTACTTGCCATGCCATTATTTTTTGTAGGTTCATTTATTATGCTACTTTCATAACTTCTCGACCTGCCTTATGGCTGTAACATATGTAGCAGGATAACGTTGCGAGCAATGTCCCTTCTTCAGAGGTAGCAGTCCTCTCAAGAAGGGACATTTACCTCGGAATAGCACGGTTGGCTACGTACGGTGCGAAATAATTTCAACATACATACATACAAGACTGCCTGTTCATCGGTCTGAATGTGTATTCAGGAAAACTAGATGACCCCACAAGTTCAATCACTATGAAGCCTGGCACACATCTTACCAACAGCGACGTACAGATCTTATATATTTTGTCCAAGTTTGGCGATGAAATACGTAGCATAAATCTTGATTTTGAAGCTTTCGCGACTGCAGGAATCCATACTCTTTGGTTATTTTGGTAAAGTCACGTAGATACAGTAAAACCTTGTATTGCGAGCATAATTCGTTCCGGAAACGTGTTTGTAATCCAAAGCACTCGTATATCAAAGCACTCGTATATCAGTTGTGATCATGTGACGCTCGGCAGACAAAGCGTATACGTACTACTCGTATTGCAAGACCTCGCGCTCGTTTATCAAATTAATGTTTATTAAAAAAATGCTCGTCTTGCAAAACACTCGCAGACCCAGTTACTCGCAATCCAAGGTTTTACTGTAGATAAAACGTTATCCTGCTACGTGACTTCACCAAAAGAACCAAAGCGTACGTAGCATCAAATTTTGCATCAAACAATGAGAATGTTACGCTGCACAACCTAACAATTAGCATGCGCACGTCACAGCACGCGTCCACGGGTGTACACCTGAGCACCGGAGCAACGGACCCCTGGTGGTCCGCGAAGCTGCCTTAACAGGGATGGTTCCGCCGGGAATTTGTTGTTTTCATAACAGTGGCATCCTCACCAAGGAAATGTACAATTTCAAACAAGTAGATGCGTGTTGGTGGTCCGCGAAATATTTCGGAGGTTCAAAAGTGGTCCCGCAGCGCTCGAAAATGTTGGGCGAACCCGCTGCACCGGGGAGCAACAACAGTGCCGGGGTTCTGATTTGCAACACGACGGAACGGTGTGCGTGTTTTTTTTTTTTACCCGCACGGGTGCTCGTTCGTCGGTCGACTCGCCCTCAAACGAGTCACCCGGCGCGGCGTGTGAACATTGGCACCGAGGAAACAATGCCAGCCGGTGAGGTGGTTGGTGGTTGGTAGAAATCCTGGCCAGCCACGCCCCTCGTGGTGCCGTGTTGGCCTTCATAGGTGCTCACTCACGGCACTTGCCCCAAGAGTCGGTTAAGGCTATGAGGGGGACCTTTGCCTCCGCTGGTTTATATATGCATTGAGGGTGTTTCCGTGGACACATTTCTCTGTACGGTCGATTCCACTTGTAAATGGTATTCTTAGGAAAGTCTCACAATACCGTATATGTCGAGTATCCTCATATCAGATTTAAATTGGATATAAGGATTTGCATAGCCTAAGGCAATGCTCTGCAGCTATCTCTTCTCGTGGCCAAGATAACAAAACAACAAAACGATAACGTGCGCCAGTGGCTGGTGTATATGTCGAGCCCCTCCATGTTCGTGATTTTGCGATGACATTTTTTTCAGTAACTCAAATATGGCAAAATAACGAATGTGAAAAGGTATTCAAAGCTGACCATTACATGTTTACCTATACATTTACTTTTTTTTTCAGCATCAAACAACATTCGTGGCAAGGAGTGATGAGATATGTTGCTCTGTACTTGTACACCACTGGCAACACCATCTCCTCGTGTTGTTGACCACCCCCACCACACCGACTCCGTCGACTCCTTCCCAGCTCCGCGCACTCGACCGTGTGTCTCTTGGCTCTGGCTCTGACCCTGCACTGCAATAACCGGGGAGCTGGCCTATCGCTTGAATAGAACATGCACGATTAACAAGCGTGTACCGAATCGCGGCTCGCTGTGATGAAGCCATACAATGCCGCAACGCTTGAGAACCCTTCCTAAAACCCCAAGCGGAAACGCGGGGGCTTTAACCCGGATCGCGTCAGTGTCGACTCTTGTACCGTGACACAGGCATTAGCCCCCTGAGCAGCCAGACACCACCGGTGTTAGCTAAATTTCTAAATACAAACATGGATTTTCCCCTACGACACCAGTGTAAGGTTAATTCATTATACAGCCACTAAAATGTAACCACTCGCGTTCCCAAACTGCAAACAGCCATGTTTGCCGTGTCGTTCACGGGAAATATGCACCGAACGAAACCTATTACATGATTTATTACGACGATGGCCGATGGTCAAGCATAATAACGGAGTGGCAGCCGAGGGATTGATTGTCTCCGCGCGGACGTGTACCAAGGAGATGGAGCAATGAAATCAGTTAATGTGCAGGTGCTGGGTGGATTATTCCATCGCAGCATCGTAAGTGGTGTCGGTGGCTTGGGGAGACCTCTATGCAGCAGTGGATTGACCATAGCTGATGACGGTTATTACATTACTTTGAGCTTCAAAAAGTGCATACTAATGATATAAACTCATTGGCAAGCCAGACAGTGCGGCATTTCATTAACCCTCACCCTGCATGTGAATTAGACTGCTGCAGTCAGGCGGCCAACAGCGACATGGACATGACAGCGTCGTTGTCTGCGGATGCATTATGTATGTCGTTAAGCACACCGCGGCAGTAGCGTCCGTGTAAATAAATCATTAATGTGGGTCATCGTTGCAACGTTTCATAAACAATTGCTCAAGGTGAACAAGACATTACCCAATAGATCATCACCACTTTAACAATGATCGTCACTTTATCTTACCCGCCCCAACTGGACATCTGTGAAAAAGAGCTTTATAGCTTACCGGATCCCTCCAGTATACATGTATTCTGATTCTGATCTGCTTGGGTGGCGTGAACTCTAACCCTGACTCCCAATCGGAAGGATGCAAGCTCATATCCCAGTTGGCAATGTATTCCTCCGTTCGTGGTCATACCGTTGCCCCCCAAAACAGGGGAAAAAAACTGCATCTAATAATCGAGAGAATACGGTGTATGCAATGCACGTCAGCAATACCTCAGTGGGCCTTACGAGCCTCACGGTAATGTGGCCGCTGCGTCAGAGGAATGTGGAATGTTCACTGATGGCTCAGGCTGAGCACAGCCCCACACTCGTGTCAGCAGGGAGACACTTTGAATTGGTCGACCCTTGGGTTGGCGATGAATATAACATGACGGCACGGGTTCAATTAATGCTCAATAAAATGCCTGTTAAGCAAGATAATAATTAAAATAATAATCAGTTTCAGCTCCTTTTGTCAATTTATTGCTTGATGTTCTGTCATTCATGTTTTTTGTTGTTGTTAAACCATGTTTCACCATGCTAATCAGTGCGGGTTGGTGAGGGGGGAGGTACAGGACTGGTTTAACTTTCACCCGCCACTGATGTTAGCCGTGACTATGTAATTGCACTCATCGTGAAATACAAATATATACACACAATTCCATGATCTATCCACTGCTGGATGAAGGCATGTCCATTTCGTCGCGATCCCTCACGATTCTGCGCCACCACAATCCATCCAGTTTGTGCACATGAGCCGATCCTATTGTGCCTTCTCCGTAGCATGTTTGTTAAACTTCTTTCGCACCGTACGTAGCCAACCATGCTAAACGGAGGAGCGGAGGTGCAGTGCTCACCCTCTCAGGTATTTTCTCTCTTTCGGCTGCCATTCTATCGCCAGCCGCGTCCATCCATCATCCCTTCTAGACAGTGCTCTTGGCCAAGGCTTATTACATTACTTAGTCTACACAGCGGATATGTCTAATTTGCATGCAAAAATGGTGCCCGCCCCAACGTCCTGCCTCCCGAAAGCAGGCAACCCCCTTACAAGCCACAGCCCATGTGACGCGGTTCACGCGGATGATATAACAAAGCTCTGAACATCACCTCCCGTCCAGTGGCACACATTGGAGAAAAGGGGTGGAACTTTTTTTGTTACAAACTTTATTCGTGTTATCTTATGAGTCGCATAGTCAACTCGCTAAAAGCTAGAACAATTGACTAGTTTAATGATAATATAGCCCATTCACACTTTGCTATTTCACACAGTTGCAGCAATTGTGTGTATAATACTACAGTTTGGAAAATGTTGTATTGGTACGCAGTGTACGCGTGCATTTTTGTTCCGCATAATCTACTTCTAGAAATTTAAGGAAGAAAACAGGAAAATCCACATTAGTTTCCTTGGGTGGGCATGGACTTGTCTCACTACTCATTCTGCTAGATGACCTTCAAGTGCATAGCCAGCAGTCACTGGGAATACGGGACAAATGGTGATTAGGAAAATGCTGCCAGATTTATGTTGCTTTGCATCCAATCTGATCCCCTATGTAATCACCTCCCCTCTACCACTGAAAAACATTCCCGATAATCATGAGCAACATATTCATCAGTGCTGTTTATCCAATGTCAGGAGGATGTTCCTAGCACAAACCTCTATGAGCGATGGGTATTTGGATGGCCAAAAATAAACGAGGTTCAACACCATGAGTGCATTAAAATACAACAACAAAATGTGGAGAAACTCTACACTGCGGCAAAAAAAATATTACAGTCAGCACGTTTTGCTGAATCGTTTTTTTAATGTTTGTCTTTATCTTCATTGTTATGGAACAAAGCTCAGTTTATGCGGCAGTGTAGGTAAAAAAACGGTGGAAAAGCTCTGAAAGAATATGCTACTACATCACTGCCAACGGCAGTACCCGCAAAGTTTAAATGTAGGAAGCAACAGTTCGCAACTCGTATTACTCGCGTGTTGCAGGTTCATACCGAGCAGTTCGTAGAGCGTGTTTAGGATCTCCTTCCACGCCTCCCCGGCCTCCTCCCCAGCCACATCCGCAAAGTACGCGGCGCTGCTGTACACGCTGAGCCGGTCGATGCAGTCCAACACCAGCGTGATCATGCCCTGCGGAGAGACCGGCGCGAGAGTCGGTGCGGAGGAAAGCCGGTGTTGGCGAGAGAAACGGTTCTCGGAAGGAAGCCAGTGCTGCAAGGAACATGAGCGTTGTGTTAGAGAGAAAGATTGGTTATTTGGAGGTAGATTGGTGATGGAGCCCAGGGTGAGAGGGGTGAATGATTTTTTGTTATGCTTTTGTATTCATTAATAAAACATTTGATTTTGAAATCCGTTGACATGTAACATCTCGTTTGCAAGGGTGTCCAGGGATAAGTGTTGGATGGAGATAAAGGTAGAAATGGGATAGACGCTAGACAGACATTGGTGTTGCTGGGAGGCAGCAGTTAATGGATATGAATGTTGTAGTGATACACGTGTTGGAGGAAAGTAAAAGCTAACGATGAGGGAAATTGAGGACATTGGGATAAGAGGAAGTACTGGAAAGTTAGAGCTGACATACAAAGAGAGGAAAGAGAGAGGATAATATGAGAAAAGAGAGGTGAATACCGAGTGGTGGAGAGGAGCATGAGTAAGAGGCAGAGACAAGAATGAGAAAACGAGGTACATATAGATGCTTAGGACGACACAAAGGAATGTCGAATGGGCCTAGGGCTATGTATAGAGGATGAGTAGCAACAAGAACGAGAGCAGACAACGCTGCTCCACACAGCATGGCACGCAGAAAGAAAATTCAGTCCAGGCGACTGATACTAAAATCCCAGAAGGCACAGGCATAGCCGGCACCCTGTTGAGTACATGGTGGGGAGTAATACAATGGGAGGAAGGAACCGCAAGTACAAAGTGAGAAGCCGGATGCTTACGTTTCAAAGTTACCTACCTTGTTAATCCCGGCCGGTGGACACTTTTATTAAAATACCCCAAGTCAGACGTCGACAGGCAATCATTATTCCTGGGTAAACAACTGCAGTTAACAGCCCTAGTTGACTAAAAAGCATAACATGGCTCCTGCCATGGGAATGTGGATGTTCCAGAACTATCTCAGGTTCCACCAATAAGAATGAGTACCTCGCAATGTTGGTCTGAGCGAGGAGACACCGTTTTTACCAAGTAGTCATTAAATGGTAATGTTAACAAACATGAATTATTGGTTAGTGAAATCGTGTTTCACGAAACTAAAGTGCATTTTATATTACTTTAATATTTAGTAGAACTTTTCTCTATTAATTTACAGAATTAATACGAAGATTCACGACTCATTATTGCTTATTATGATGAAAGGCAGTATATATTTATTATTATTATCATACACATGGCATACTTTAACTAAAAACACGGACCAATGCTTTATGGTACCACTGTCATAAATAATAATCTGTCAAAGATCGTATCACGTTTCTTTATGCAAGCAAAAAAATGTCTTATGCATATTAACTATCAAACATCGGGTATTCGTAATTTCATCTCGTCATAGTCATGCCAATGATTATTTTTGGAAGTTGCTTTTCTAAGTGTTCTTAACCGATTAGGACGGTTAGCTACGTACGGTGCGAAAAATGGTCAACATACATTCATAACCACACAGCCAGTGAGGACTCCACCCAGAAGTTACCCAGTTATTTATGTGCGGGAATTGGGAATGAATAAATTATAGCCTCACGCAATATGTTCATTAAATACCCTAAAGCACCAGGTGTTACAACAACAACAAAAGCTTCACTATACCTTGGTACCACCATAGCCCAATATTAATTGGCAAACATACATTTGTACAAATGAATGTAAAAAAACAGTGAATGCCTTTCCCAATGCAATCTGATGTCAATTCAGCCTCACCACAGCCAATGCACAACCTCAGTTAACGTTTTTGCTCAACAGATGCACCCCACACACAACTGACAGGGGACATTTGTCGACGTTGACTTCTGAAGCGCTCGAAATCCGAGTCAAGTCGAAGACAATAAAATCGCCCAAAGCAGCATGGGTCCGCGCTCATTTCCTTCGATGGCTGTGACACAGTGACGAATATTCCACACTCCTATGGCAAGGGGGCCAAGTATGTCCACAAGGCACTTCTGGCTTTCCCACAAAGTGATACTCATTTGAGCAGAAACAGTTAAATGGGGCATTGATTCTAACCCACAGTGCGCCCCTACCCCCCCACCCCCCCCAAGCTGAAGAACACTTTGTATTTTTGGTCACAAGATAATCAGCAACGGCAGCAGCAAACCTCCAAAAACAAAATAACCAGCAAGTGTTCATTAATCTAGCTGCTTTTCTATCGTTAATCACGCTAAGCAGGCCGGGCCGACAGGGAAGCTGACACGTTGGCGCTAACAGGTGGGGCCTGTGGGTTGCCAGCGCCCGTCAGGAGCAGCTGTATCGTGTGGCGCGACCCTCGGCGCACAGCACCGGGCCAAATCGTTCACAACCGGGCATGGGGCTAAAGTCGGGAGATCAAAAGGGCTCAAGGATCACGTTTGGGGTTTTATTTTTTAAATCAAAAATGCAGTCCTTCTGCGATTATAATTATTACTCTTTATCTAGCCAGGGTTAAAACTCTTCAGATTCAGGGAACTTTTCCAAAGGAGCTCTGGCATGATGACGGCAGTACATCAGATTCACATCAAATCATAACCAATTTGTCCAATTACAACACATGAAATATTAAAAATATAAAGGGAATAAAATAACACAACATTTTTTTTTTTAACGTTGCAACACAATCTAAAATGGTTAGAAATTAAGTTTGTGGAAGGCAGTAACTGGACTGGACACTTGTGAGTACATTTTGAATATTTTAGTGACATCGTTTGTAAACGTTTGACCTGATTCCATCTTATACTAACTGCTTACAATTGGATGGTGCTCAGCAGAGAAAACTCTACGGCCCAAGGCCTTACCTAACTGAGGGAGTCTTGAGTGCGAGAAAGACCTCAGAATCAACATCTTTATCTATCCTGGAGGAATTCCGATGAGCCATGAAGCTCTTTTTCACAGATGCCCAAGTAGAGACGAGATCCATGAGAAGATGTCCGATGAGGGAGATGAAAAGAGACGGGCACAAACTTAGCAAGTGGAAATCATCAAGAATGCCCAAAGTAAATCTGTGAATACTCTTCGGTTCTTTCGGTAAAGTCACGCAGGGTAGAAATTAAATAAAATAAATCACGACGTTTCAAACGCAACACAAGCGGTCCGTCTTCAGGTGAAAATCGCGACAGCTGCGATGTCTCCTACTGCGAGCAGCAGCAGCAGGACATCGTCGCAGCTGCCCACGTGACTTTACCGAAAGAACCAAAGAGTATGGATTCCTGCAGTCACGAATGCTTCGAATCAAAATCTTTGAATATTTCCAAGAGTGCCTATATGTACTCTTTGGTTCTTCCGGTAAAGTCACAAACCAAAGAGTACGGACCCTTGCAGTCACGAAAACCTCAAATCTACAAAGTGCATATCTGCTCAAATGAGGGAGGAATAATTGGTGCTTATGGCCAGCTACTCCAGATGATGGCCACTGTTGCAATGGCCATTGCAAGTAGAGGTTTCCCTCGCTTTATGCGGGTTCGATTTGTGCAATTTTGCGTAAATTAAGCCAACTTATTTCCACGCAATATCCACTTACGTGCGGCATGAATACAATCGCGCGCGGCTATGCGGTGTGATGTGGGACAACGCTGTATGCTCAACTCGGAAGACGCCCGTCTCACAGGGTTTTCCTTTGTTGCACCCTTTTCCTGGGATGCATAAAGCGAGGGAAACCTGCAGCTGTCAGCCATGTGGTGGGCTTTTTGGAGTGCTATCCTCTCGTATGCAGTGTCACTCAGGGATGCTACAAAATGTTATCTCTTCCTTTGAGTTTTGAAAAATACCGCTGTGTTTTGAGTTTGAACTCATTGTGTTTGTTGCACGGATGATCCCGTTCAGGCAGTTGCCCGCCTAGTTTACAAGGCAGATCCGCAGAGCTTGTTTATGGTACCGCGAGCCAACCACGTCACTTGACCGCTACGGATGACAGTGTGGGAAGGGGCAAGAAGGGAGAGGTGTGTAACAACCTCCCCCACAAGCACACGGCGACGGAGAGAGAGGGAGACTGAGAGAGACCAACAGATACGAGACACAAAGAGAGGGAGAAATACACCGACAGAAGTACAGCGAGACACGGAGAGAGAGTTCCATTTAGTTCCATTTATTTGGTATAGCCCTGTGAGCCATTCGGCTCTTGAATCGGGTGCAACCGCAACAAACAAAAACAAAAACACGAACAAGAAAAACATCTTAAAGTGACTATGTGTCTGTGCAAACAGAAAATGCAGGAAAAAAACATCAAAATATTCCTGAAATAGCACCGTACACCAACGCTGTGTGCAAAAATCCCAGTGGGATGCAAGTCAAACAACAACAACAACCACAAGGCAACTAAGATTAAGGCCATCAGTCTAACTCCATACTACAATAAACAAAAACATGGCCAAACCATAAAAAACTTTTCGAAATCACCAAAATAAAAGCCATAAATGCAATGTAACAGTGATCATAGGGACTGTGACCGAATTTTTAACAATAAACTATATAAATAACATGTAACACCAAACCCTAGAGCAATATTTTAGGCCACTGAATAGCAGTGACAGCTAGGGGTGTACAACTCCTCTCGAGAGGGAGACTGAGAGAGACCAACAGATATGAGACACAAAGAGAGGGAGAAATACACCGACAGAAGTACAGCGAGACACGGAGAGATGAAACAGAGCGACAATTTAACTTCGAATTGGGCTCCAAAGCGAAAGTTTTGGAAGACATTTTCCAATGTCCCTGTAAATAACTTTGGTGAAGGTGTGTCACATTCTAATATATATGTTGGAATGTCCTTTGTGAAATCTGTGTTGCTGTTCCATTGATATAAATGGTTTTATTATTTCTGAATATATTTAATTTTGCATTGATTCGTGATGTGATAGGATAACTAAATACATTTCAACTGAGATTAATCCTTTTCCTCATCTGCAAAGGCCAGGCACACAGGCATTTGAATGAATTCCTTGCTTTTAGGACAAGATTGACAATCTGTATGTTGTTCATGGTGGAGAAACCTTTCCTAAAACCTACCCTGTACGCATGGTTGGTTGGCCTAAAAGAAGATCATGATTTCAATATTCCATTCCCTCTGATCACCATTTTTAAGCAGCAGAATGATTGTGCCATACTTCGTTAGCTCTTTGTCAATCCACTGATGAAGGAGGGCCCTATGCATGCCATGCGGTTTGTGGGGGGGGGGGTTATTTAACCACATTTCACCACAGTGGTCTGTGAGGCTTGGCAATGGTGGGGAGCATAGATGGCAGAGCGCAGACGTACGGCATACAGATCGATTTTGATACACTGCTTTCTGACGCCAACTATGTAGCCCCGAAGCCTTTGACACCTGCGATGTATGGCGATTGCCAATCCAAAGATGACTTGCCAGACTCCAACCTGTGTAGTTTCTGAAATCTTATGAGCTCCGGCGCAGTCCGGGTGATTTGGTTAAAGGCATAACTATAAAACCTACAATATATAGCAGCCGGTTCCACACGGAGAACGTGTGGCCATTAGAGAGAAAAAAGTTTTAATAGGAATGCGCATGGTTTGGCAGCCAGTTTTTGTGGGTATGATTTGCTGGATATTATGGCAGGCGTGAGCGAGAGAGTGTTTGTATAAGCAGGAAATAGATGAAGCAATAACAATAAGTATTATTAGTAAAGAGAAGGCATGTTGGTAATTAATCATGGATCTAGGGCTCCATAAAAATGTTAGTTCCATTAGTTTTTATAACAGAGACTTTTACATATTTAATAAATTCTATGCTTATAAACTGATATAGATTTTTTCCCCCCATGTGTGTTTTTATTTATAGAGATATATAAAGGAGGAGATAGCCATGTGGCTCAGGGGGCTAATGTAATCACTCTGTAATCGTCAAAACACTGAGGTGGCACCACTAAAATCATGCAATTTGAATCCAGGCCTCAGCCACTTGTCTTTAAACGATTTTGCCAAGCACAGTTGATTAGACAGTCTCAAAGTGGCCACTGATGAGTGCGCAAAAATCCATTACACATATTTAGTTTTTCACTCCATTTAGCCTTAAGCATGAGGGCTAAACGTTGTATTTGTTAAATTGCCGCCGTGTATTCCACCTGAATGGCTATGTGCGAGACAACTTGGCTCGACATCTGAAGTTGAAATGAGGTTAGAGGTCAACTAAGTCTGAATATCCCTTTTTGAGGGAAAGTCAAAAGTGTTTGGTCCCCCACCATGGAAATGTGTAATTTCTACCACTGGCTTCAATCGTTAACATGTGACTTCATTGTTCGTTTGAGCAAACGTTTATTACTTTTTATTTATTTATCCGCATGAGGTGAACCACTCTTTGCAGACCATGGAGGAAGTGACAGTGTTGGGTGCATCATGAATTAACACTGGCACCATCTTCAGAGGGCATTCCCAGACTTCATGTGGGACGACTGGTGGCTGATGGTATAGAACAATAGACACGCTCGCAATTCAATATACAGTCTAGGCAAAGAAGCTGAACTCGCTAAAAGTTCGACATTCCGAACCATATAAATCAACACGAGCGCTGTTAAATTGTCCAAATGACAAAAATGTATACGTTGATATACGTAATGACTGCTTAAGTGATATAAATATTGTCGCATCACACAGGAATGCCCCTAGAAGAAATATATCGGTTGAGATTATGGCAGCACACATGACCGCCAGGCTGTTAGGGTGGAGGAGATATAAGAACTTGGTATGATGCAGAGTGTTCTCGTGTATTTATACGTTCTGACGAATCATCACCGATTGCGTCCAATCAGCAAAACTGTGAAGCCAAAGAGTCGACGTGAAAGCATCTCCAAGTGCAGTCAAGTGTGTGACAGTGTTCATGTCTATTGGAGGCAATGAGTCAGTGGTGGAAATTCCACATTCTCACAGCATGGTTCCGTCAGTTTCACCATAGGGCACAATTTTGAAAACAGAAATGAAGGACTGAGATGACCCCTGACCAGGATTTACAATTGTGCGTTGACAAGGTTTGCCGGAATTAAATTGGGATATTGTTGGTATTAGAAAGGTTGCCACTTCTGAAGACTGGCAACCTTCGACATTATAGAGGGAAAGCTGGTGGTAATTATGGCGGAGTGGGATTCCTCAAAGGAATCTGACGGAGCTTGAGGGTTCAAGGAATCATCGGAAGTTATATATTGGAACATGTGTATTTTGGAACATTATATAGCACATAATTCCAATTCAGCCAAGCAATATCACCTGGCCCTACAAGTGTAATGTGGAATCCATACAGGACTGGCTTTGTGGGAAATCAACGGCGGTTGTAGTAAGGAGAGGCTTGCTCCCACCAATTGAGCATGGAATTTATTTGAATACCTCACAGTTACAAATTAAAGTGAGCACCACTCCACACTTATTTCAGCAGGGAGACATTTCGGCTTGACTTTAGACTCTGTATCCATAGAGTTGTCAACTACAACACTCGATCAGTCCGCACAGCTACTGGACAAAAACGGCTACAATTGCCATCCCATTTGCCGCACCACCACCACCACCACAATGAAACAAGTTGGTCGAAAGCCTCGGAACGATATATAAAAACAGCGAGACGCTAACATTAGCCAGTCGGCGGTACAAGAAATGCAATAGTTTTCAAGAATCTTCCAGCATAAGCTGTTCCCATCCCGATATAGCGGCCCTCCTTGGCGGCACTGCCACTCCCTCGTGATGGAACAGCGTGCCACCTGTTTCTGGACGGCGGAGACTTAGCGTGTGTGCCCCACAGGAAGTGTAACCGCAGTGCTGCGTCCCGCCGAGGTGGGATTAAGACGCACGCAAAGGCGCTGCCTCCCCCCCACCCCCCCCACCCTCTTTGTGCCACACCACGGAGCAGAGAAGGCCTTCCTTGATATTAATAACAATAATGATGATGACGACGAGTGAAAGTATCTCTCTGCTCAGACAGTGGACAGCGCTCATGTATTCCGGCAGCCCCTTTGAGCAGGTGGCGGAAATTCCATGTTCCGATAGAGGGGGGGGGGGCCAGTGTGTCCATAGAGTCACTTAAATCGTGCGTCATGCGAAACTGCTGCAATCATTGCATTCATCGGAAAAACGGACGCGAGATTAAGTTGACACCGGACTGGGATTTGAACTTGCGATCTTCCCAATCGTAAGCCAAGCGCTCAAACCACAGTGCCACGCAGGCAAATGCGGTAAATCAGCTGGGAAGTGATTGAGGCATGAATGAGGATTTCAGCAGCAGTGGCATCAGCAGCAGGAGGAGGATGGTTAGGGGCATTGGCAGAAACGGGAGAAGGACGCGCAAATAGTTTTGCAGGCTCAGAAACGTGAGGAGAGAAAGTTAATATGAGGGTCAACAGGACCATCAAGATTATCGGTGTCAATACCGTATGTGACCCATTTGCCCCCTCTGACTGCTTCAGCAGAATCCTGAGAGGTTGGTGGCGCTCGAACCAACGGTGGCAACCACTTTCTCCTGTGCCTATCAGTGCATCATGTAACCGTGTTCCCACCATTGGCGAAGTCGACTTTTGAAACGTTATCTATTATGGAGAGGTGCTCGGGAAAATTAGTTAACAGCCCCTCTTTCAATTGAATGCTGGATGCAGGCTTCTCCACTCCACGCCCGTTAACGGGAATGACTGGACATATTACTCACCCCAAATATGATCTGAACTCGGGAATTGAACTGAGGTGGCCAGATTCACAGTGCAGTGGAATAAACACTGCACCACCGCTCCCCTCAGAAGGGGCATAATGTCATGAAGAATTTGTGGATTTCATGTAACATATGTCTGCTTTTTTATTTGTATTTTTTTCCCCTTAACATGAACGAACAATGAATTGAATAAACCTAAAAAAGAATTGCACTTCATTCTGAGTGTAGGTTTTGAGTAAGATCTGAGTATATACCCACCTCTGCTATCCTCACTTGAATGTAAACTTTTGACACCATCATTCCCCTTTTCTGTTTTCGGATTGTAATGTTTTTTTAAAACAGAAGTAATTTTAAAAGCAATCAACCGGTACATGCTAAATGAAAGTAATATGCTTCCATACTATAAGTTGAGTAATAATATGGGTTTAACACCACCTGCCTATGGGTAATTTGATGAACACAGCAGGCAACAATGTTTGTAGCTCACATTCCAAGGTTCGCAAGTTTACATCCTGGTCAGGAGTCAGCTCAGCCTCTCATCCTTGCAAGGTCAATAACATAGATACCGCCTTGTGGGAAGTGCACAGTTGACGTGTCATCCGATGGAGACTGGCTTCTGCCAATTTAATTTCCACAACCACTGGCTCAAAGCGGCGGCCGAGATGAATGCCGTCACCACACTCGTTTGAGCAGGAGAAAGAACTCGCTCACTCGACGTTTAAACTCTCCGACGTCTCTCTCGTGCGACTCCAGCTCACCTCCTCCTGGAAGAGATTCTGCCGGTTCTTGAGCGCACGCAGATGGTTCTGCTGCTCTTCGTGCTCCAGGTCATCTTTGGGCGGCTGGAAGTAGAGGATGAGGTCCTGCAGGCTCAGCTTGACCCCCTCGATGGGCAGCTCCACGCCTGCCCCACGCCCTGCAGCCTGCAGAGCATCCAGCCCACTAGGTGGCCAGGGAGTGGACAGAGACAATAATTTAATAATAATACAGTCGACCCTTCCACATCGCGGGGGTTAGGGGCGCAGGCCCCCCACGATCTGGAAAATATTTTGGTCCCCATGGCGAGCGAAGCGAGCACCTCCAGCCCGGGGGTTCGGAGAGGGGGGGGGGGGCGCTGTGAGCCTTTGCGTGTCGTCTGCTGGCTTTCGCGTTCTTTTAGCAAACTTTACAGTTTTGCAAAATGTAACTTTAAAAAAAATATTGTGTATATTTATGGTATTGAAAGATAAAATACATTAATATTATACAGTGCTGTACATATATTTGATGTATTTATGAGTTACTAAACTTTTTCTGTGTCGTCTGCTGGCCTTCACGTGTCGTCTGCGGCTTTCGCAAAATTCCAAAAAAATTCCCATTTTATTTCTTATGCCGACCCCGCGATTTATCGAAACCGCGATGAGGAAAGTCGCGATGCAGAAGGGTCGACTGTAATTTAATTTTATAAACCGTCATTCATGGTATTGCATTCCACAACGCTGCACATCAATTAGCCAGTCCCTTATGCAGATAATACAAAAACAAAACCCCACTAGTTAGCAAATAAAACACACAAAAAAGAATGCATAAATAACGAGAAAAATATGCATAAGAAGAAAATGATCATCACAATACCATGAACACGGCGTCGCAAAGCAATAAATCTCGAAGCACAATGCTAGCTGGTTTTTAACGTGAAGCCAATTGGCCATAGATCTATAAAGAGCAACCACCAATTATTGTACAAAGAAAGGTACACGTAAATACAACACAACAAAATACATATTCAGTATCCATCAGTTTTCTCACTCAATGCCCATGAGTTATTGCTCACAGTTCATTTGGTAAAGCAAGTCTTGAGACTGTCATTACATTCATCCAAGTTCGTGGATCCCAAGTTTGTTGATCCAAGTGCATCGCTGCATCAACAACGACAATCACAATCCAGGCCGAGCCCAACCAAACACAATTGATGACACATTTGCTTGGACGATCGGGGGGGGGGGGGGGGGGGGGGGGGGGGGGGGGGGGGGGGGGAGACTCGGTACGGAACGACTCGCAAGGAACTGCTGAAGAAGAAGGCAAAAAAACGGACGAACGTCGATGCGGTGAAGTGGTCAGACAGACCGTTCCGCAACTTCAGCGACCTTACAAGCAAAGGCACCACGCTGGGCTGTTCTGATGCTGGCGCGGGGCACCCGGGGAACCTACCGTCTATTACTGGACCTAAGATTGTGCACGCAGATATGCATGGCTGCAACAAGGTGGACAAAAATGACGGTCCCTTGTTGTGTTACAACTTGAGCGTAACAACCAGATGTTTAAATTCAAAAGCCGCATTTTTGCACGAGTAGAGACGTGCGAGACAAGTGAGTTCCACTGAAGGGAAACGGCAGCAGGGGATAGAAGGGACAGGTAAGGAAAGTGGGACATAAAAAGAGACTATTTGTATTTTACCAGGTAAGACCCACTGAGCTATATAGCTCTTTTTCAGAAGTAATCTGGCCGGAAATGACAGCTCAACGAAGTGGCTTATTGTGTGGAAATGTATAGCAGCCAAATACTCTAAACCAGGGACGTGCGGTCAGGGGAGGTAGGGAAGGCAGAGCCTCACCTGTCATATTCCAATGAAAATAGCTGTTACAAAAAGTAAAAAAAAAGAATAATCAAATAAAATAAATATTAAGATTTTTCAACTGATAAGTGTTATAAATGTAATTTCTGTACGATTCTAATCATTTTGAGAGTCAAAATTGTCAAATTTGCGGAGCTCCGCTGCAAATACAGGAAGAGACGAGAGGTGAGGCAGCGACGAGCTCAGCCTCCCCTCTGATTGCGCAACCCCTCAGTAACTGGATGGAGCGTGGGCAATAAGCGCGTGCCTGTTACTATCTCAGTAATGTTTGTAGACCCCTTCATTTCATGTCCTCGCCTTCCATACTCCAGGTCACTTATTTCACGTATGTGTATAAAGATATTCAGGCTCGCTGATCTCGTCATTAAACTGCAATGAAAAAGCACCAGGGGAGGCAGCTATCACATCTGCCTCACTGAGGGGGGCGTGTTAGACACGTCCCCCTCAGTGAGGCCACGCCCCCCTCTGTGAGGCCGCGCCCCCCTCAGTGTGTGAATCTGGCTCTGACACGAGCCAGTGCCTCCCCAGCCATTGACCTCACCGCACGTCACTGCTCTAAACGCATATTTCTAAATGTGGAGGGAAAAACCGGAGGACCCGGAGAAAGACCCACATAACCACGGGGAGAACATGCAAACTCTAAATATACAGGCGTCAGGGTCGGGGTTGAACCCACAACCTCCTGCATATCAGGCGAGGTAGTTAACATCTCACCACTATGAGATGAGGAAGGAAACAGAGGTTGGTGATACAGATGCAAAAGTAAAAGAATGAGGAGAAAAAAAGGGGCAAAAAGGCAGGTGGCAGTGGGTTAAAGTGTGCTGTCACCAACGGTCAATCATCACTCTGGATCCATCACAGTAGGACAAAGCCTCCAATTTCTGCCGCCAAGGGGGATTTGTTATTTGAGGTTGAGACAAATACAATGACTTACTTGTGCGTACATCTAAGGGGACTGTACAATATTAAAATTGCGAAATGTATCTGCTATGCAAAAAAAAACATAAAGATAAATTAACGACTTGTATATCCACATATGTAGTGCATATCCTAAAATAAATGTATAACAGTTTTTGTAACGTCTATAATTAAAAACGAGATGCTTTAACATGGCAGGTTCGCGTTCAGGTCATTAAATTGGGTAACGAACATGTTTTTTTTTCTTTGTTTGCTGCCTTTAATCCAATTTCGAATAAAAGAGTAGGGTTTAAAATGCAGCCGCGTAGCTGCGAGGCGTTGCAGCTCTTATTTCCTCTTGACCTCTTTACCCCCCCCACCCCCCCCCGCACGGTCTTCTCCACGAGCAGCGTAGGTGGCAGGCCTGGCCGCAAGACAGCGGAGGAGACTTCTCGCTTACGTAGGCAAATTAATCAATGCGATGTACGGGCAATAAAGCAAGCAATTTGCGCAACGAGCGATTGGTTACAAAAAAAAAGCGTGCGTGCATAGAAAAATGTATTACGTCTGTGCTGTGACGCTGCTTTACAGAGAAGACGTTTTTGCCTGTTACTTTCTGGGCACGTTTCCCCTCTCGGAAGCATTTACGTAGAGTGCTGCAAGGCTGAATTGCGTGGCTGTATTGTTCGGCTAATGTTCTGCAAAGCTCCAGGTGGCTTACCATTACAATTCACACACACACACAAATTCACCGCATGCAGGATGCGGTAGAAATGCTTTTCTGCAGCGTGGGACGTGATGCATTTTTGTCTTCTTGCATTTACGCCAGAAAGCATTTACTTATATCATCCATAATACAGGTTTTTTTGGGTTAGATCACGTGAATATATAAATGTGTCGTTAAAGCCGCCACCACCCGACACAGCCAATTAGAGTAAGGTTTGTCACGTTAACAGAACATGCCAATTCGTTACTAATGTAGCACACCGGTGTGTTGGAGAGCAAAGCTTATATGACGTCTACAGAAAAGGCCTTAGTCAATATTGACATATCTTTAAGCTTATATCAGACCAATTGTTTTTTTGTTTTGTGTACAACGTCCCATTAATATTCCCTATCATTCTGGATTAGACACTTTCATGATCAAAAGTTGTATGTATAATAATTCACTTCATGATTTTAGGTGATTAACTTTAAGATCGGAATTGCAGCCGAGCACGAACATTCAATAGCTATCGCTGTAAATAAGATTTAAAGTGTATAGAGGAGAGCCGCTTCATGGATATATTGGTAGACTTACTTTTGCGCGCATTTTTTATCGGAATTTTCCTACCAATGACGGGGTGGAAAAGCGTCGTATAGCACAATGTAAATAACCTTCCATGGGTCGGTCGTTGATGTCTACTTTTGAGTAAACAGAAAACGTTAGCAATCCTCTGAAAACATTTCTGAGGTGAGTCCAAAAATGTAAACCATCAACTTGCATGACTGAGCAGTATCACATTGCTTAATATATTTAAACATAAAACTTATTACTGACAACCTCATCAATGTATTTATTGTTTATGTGTGACATGTGTAAAAAGGTGAATATATGTATCGCAAGAATGTTATTTTTCTGAGATTCATATTCCATTCGACACATCTGTTTTTTGTTTGGGCTCATCAGTTAAGACCAGACCATAGCTGTAAGGGAGCATTGAACAACCTTTTAACCAAACGAATATCTCTCCAAATAACTACTGCTAACCTTGATGAGCCCACGTGTGAACACGGTGACCTGTTTGTTCGTCTCTCTGCAGTGACAGTTACTCAAACATAATCTCATTTCCACCCAGTGAAGACGAACTTGCAAGTTTAACGCAGTATCGACAAGCACTTTAAGTTACATTATAATGTCTGTTGTTCATACCAGAGGGAACACACATGCAAACAATGGCTGTCTTACACAACCTGCTAAATACAGTCATTAAATGAAACAAATAATTAGCATCCTCGGTAATACAATCACAGTTTGGTAAATAACAATAATTTTCTCCTATTCATGTACAAACACTGACAGACGTTTAATTAACGTGTAAATATCAATGCGATGTAAAACAACTAAGATACGTTTGAGAACAGCCTATCAAATGGGAACAGTACTACGGAATACGGACACAACAATTGTATTGTGGACAATGTGTGTGAGAGTTGGAGTCTGTGGGAACCGAAGTACTCTGAAGGCCAGTTGAGAACGGAGGGAATTTAATATTTGAAAGCAAATGCTCATCCCATTCTGCATCGTCATCTGATCACCACCATGGATATTATTTGTGCGCCTTGCGAAGAATTACAATCCACACAGGGTGACGACTGACTAAAGTGATATCAGCTGACCTGCAAACATAACAAGGTTGCGAAATCAAATCCTGGTCAGGTGTCGACTCAGCTCATCAAGTTAACTGTGGTCATTCCTTGGAGACACTGGCCATTCCTCAGGGTATCGCAGCGCAACAATCCCGCACATGAACTGATCTGATCGCTTCATCTCCGCTTCAGTTATCCCCTTGGGAGTCTTTCCTTCTATGGCTGAGATTCCAATGTCAGTTTGATCCGCTAACCATAAATCAAGCTGTGTGCCTTCCCCAAGCCTGATTATCTTCCTTAACGGCCAATATGGTATCCCTAATTTAAATTCCTTCTCTGAGCCATGACGCTCATTTTTCTGTCTCTCGGTGCAATTGCAAAACATGTAACTCCCCACGTTACTTTGGACACATTTCACAGCTTTTGTTAAAATGTATTTGTTAGTGTCCACATTTCTAATCTGTGTGTCAAAGCGGGTATTATGCAATTATTGAAACTTTCACAAATAGGCATTACATTAAAAATTGTATTATCAAGTTTTTATCATCTAGCTCAGTCACCCAAAGGCACTCCCTCCTGCTCTCACTCACTCACTCACCTCTTTACCTCATTATTTTGATTGCGTATTTTGACTGCGTACGAATGTGAAATCGTAACTGCTGCTCTGCATCTACATCGGCCATACGAAAAAATAAGAATTCGTGTTTGTTGATGCCCACACGACTGTGCCCACCTGATGAAGCCATTGAAGAGGTTGGTGGTGCATCGGATTACGCGGGCCGTGCGCGACTCCTCGTGCCGAGAGCGGGACAATGTCAGCCCATCGTCCATGTGGCCCTCCTGGTGCATGATGGCCTGCGGGTTGTGTGGGAGGGGAATGGAAGGGCGTGCGGGGTGCAGGGGGAGGGGGTCGGCAAAGGGAAAGAGCTTGGCCAGGCTTCGAGAGTCGAGCACCGATTTGTGTAAGAACCAATTCGTCGTCAGTTAATTGTGGACCGATGCTTACTTTGTTGAGGGCGATATTAGCACGAAAAATAAAGAGGAATTGATTGAGATAACACGGGGACACTTCGGGATGCATTTTTTAGGAAAATTTGGGAGATTTCCTATTTTGAAATTAGAATACCATCCCATGTTGGCAGCATTAGCAGCTTTGGCGAAATTGCCCGTCAAGACCAAGTTAAGCGATTTGCTGCTCAAACAGAGCACTGGAGTGACACTCATCTTCTTTGGTGGCCCTGAACGGCATTCGGCATTCCACATTCCCATGACGGTCTCTGCATTAGGTAACGATCTTCCCATAGAACTCCGCCTGACTTCCAGGATTGTACCTTAAAAAAATACACTTTCTTATTTTATAAGATATCTCTACTAATTTTGGAGAAATTTGGTAGATAGGAGTTTTTTTTTTTATTCGGGGGCAGGTTTCATTGGCATGTGTGTTGAGCATTTTGAAGACGATACCATCACCATGCCTCGTCACTGAGCTATTATCCCCGTTTGTTGTGTTTTTGTGACTTTTATTGGAAGTTGTTTTGTGATGCTGTACAGCGCTCTGAAACCTCTTTGTGGCCTGTTGCCCTTCATAATGTTTTTCAAATGAATAACTAATCACTGTTGACCTCCCACGAAGTGAAACTCATTTTATCCGGGACCACTGCACCGAGCTGATCCCAAAATGGGACTTGAACTCGGAAACGGTTCGACTGCAGGTCGAGCAACCTGCCACATCTCACCACCTTTGTCGGAAAGTCCCTTTATTATAACAATATCACCGAAGGGGGTAAAAAAAATAACAACAGAAACAAACACCCGTATAGTAATGCAATAAAATATGTTTTTTGGCCTTTACTCAGAAGGGTTTAGGGAAAATTTCTGACAATGTCAAGGCAGGACAGGGTGAGTAACTTGAAAGTTCAGAACGTAGCAGGAATGTACTGAAAGAGGTGTGTTAGGAAGTCGAGAGAGGTAGGGCAACGTATGCAGGAGACAGAGTGAGGGGAGGTTACTGAGACAGATACTGGGCTGGTTTGCAAGTATGTTGAACTTTGTTCGCACCGTACATAGCTGACCGTGCTAACTGGAGGTGCGGGGGAAGGACAACAAACTAAAAACACACGCGCAAAGTAAAAATGTATTGTCGAGGTTATTTACGAGTTATTTGTATTCTTGTAAAATTTAGACAAAATTGATCAATAATACATTAGCGGTGGAATGACAGTGAACTTAATGCCCTACTTCTTGGTAATGACATCAGGTCTTAAACACCCCTTTAATAACCAACTGTGCCATTTGTTTATTCCTCCGTAGGAGTCACCGAGTACGGGATTGCCTCGTTGTCATATGAGCATCATCACGGCCAATCAGCCTTAAAACGTCACCACGCCTTTTGGCGTCTTCTGGTCCAACACCAATGGAGACTAGGCTCGAAGAAAAGCCGTCTCGGGTGTGGACCAATCAAATTCAAGGACAGTGCATATTATTATCAGAGTTGTCTTTTTTGTTTGCATTTTGACTGCTTGTGTTGTAGTCATTGCAAACACGATGCCTTGAATAAAGGTGTCAGTTTTTGTGCCGGTTAAAAGGGTAGAACCTATTCCTACGTCACCACGAATTTACAAAACCGCTGCTCAGAGATGAGCCGCCGAAGTGAAGGCGCAAACCCACTGAACGGAATGCGGTTGAAACGGACTGTGGCAACGATCTGGACCATCCAACAACAGTCGTGGCGATGTGCAAGCAGGACGGAGGCGAGGCCCAACCTTGCGTGTGTACGAGCCCATGCGTGCGGTCTTGGCATCGGCTGCCTGGTAGGTGAGCCACCGCCCGCTCTCCACATGCTGCATGTAGCACACCGAGTCGCCGTACTTGATCTCCGGAGAGCCCATGCCGTCTATGTCTCTCCGGGGACCCGAGTCCAGCTTTTCCTGTGGAGAGGGAACCGATCGTGCGAAGGAAACTTAGTCATCGACGTTCATGGCTACGCAATCAAATATAAACATTGAACTCTTTCCCGTTCCAAGAAGTCTGCAAGTTGCAGGATGGGTCTTGCAACGCGCAGGCAGTAAGCGTTAATTTAATCTAGAGAGGCGTTGCGCCGTTGTTTCTAAAGACATTGTACTCACCGCAGAGAACTGCAGCGACAAGACCGCACTTTTTGCGCAATGATAATTTCAATTTGAGTAAATTGGAGACACATTTCCAGCATTTGGATGTTTGTATGTGTTTTTTTTTTAAAGTTATGGGAGGAAACCAGAGATCCCAGAGGAAACACATGCAGAACAGGGGGAGAAGATACAAACTTCACAAAGAAACGAGACCAAGTTGAGAATCAAACCCCTTCTTACTCTGAGAAACAAACCATACCATTGCGCCACCATTTAACTTTCATGTTTCACTACTTCCAAAATTGTGAGTAATCGGTAAGTAGGGACTGATTACTTTTCAAAACTCACTCTCTCAACGCTGCTGCTGAGCACCTATAAAGACCAAAACGCCACTCCAGTGGGGCACAGGTAGATAGGGGCATGGACTGTCAAGTTAAGAATAAAATAATGTTATAAATGTAATAGACAGCAGGGCATAAGGACCGGGGCACAGTGAGTCAGAGCAGTGCGGAATGATGCGCAAAAGGGGGAAAAAAACAGGACACGGAGGGCTTTTATTTGTGTGATGGGCTGGGATGAGAGGATTAAGGTTGGGAATTGCAGTTGGGAAGCAGGGACGGACACAAAATGAGCAGTGGGGGATGGTCAGGGGAAGACAAAACAGAACTTTACAGGAAAGGGAAATGTGTAAAAATAGCACAATGAGGCCAGGTGGAGGTGGTCAGGGTCAAGCAGATAATGATGGGACAAGTTATCGTGTCTGCTTGAAGGTTCACGGAGGATGTGTATAGTTACTGCTGGTGGAGTGTCCATTCCATAGCTTGCTGACATGCAGAGATAACTGGTGGGGTGCAGGAGAAAGACGGTAATGGATTGGTCTTGCATGCAATGGAATCATGACGGGTGATTTGATACTGGTTTTCAAATGATCCCTTAACATGCTGTAACCAAGACATAACACCAGGCAAGTGACTGTATAATAGTACATTATAGTAACCTGGCTTTGCAAACCTGCAATGGAAATATTCTGAACCATTAGCCGTCCTCGCTGTGTTATGCTGCAAGCCAAATTATTCATTTCGTGCAGCAATAGGCATGAGGGAAGGTTGTTGTTTTCCAACATTTGATTGTATCAGGACATGGTTCTGTGAGCAGGGCTCGTTCTGACAGTGTCCACTGCAAGGGCTGTAGTCGTACATAAAGCCGTAGGTCATGGAAGTGAGCCGTCTTGTTTTGATGGAGACATTCACGTAGAAATATTGTTTGCTCTGGAGATGATTGTCAAACTGGGGTTATAGTGTGTTCAAATAACAAACGGCAGTGGCGAGATGTTAATTACCTCGCCTGGTATATAAGAAGTAGTGGGTTCGATCGTGACCCTGAGTTTGCATGTCTCTGTCCGTGTATTTATCTCCGAGTCCTCCGGTTTTTCCCTCCACATTTAGAATCAACATGCATTTACAGTATTTGGCTGCTATAAATGTCCACATGACAAGCCACTTCGTAGGGCTATCATTTGTGGCCAGGTCGCTTCTGAAAAAGAGCTATGTAGCTCAGTGGGCCTTACCTGGTAAAATAAAAATAGTTTAGTTTAGTTTGATGTCACGTATTTAGTTAGAAAAGCCTAAACGGGTTTAAAATAGTTGTTTTAGGAGACTGGCTATTACATTGAGATCCTTGGGAAACTGATGTTTGATCTGGAAACATTTCTAAAGTCCTGGACTTATTAAAGCAGGCAAACCCTGGATGAGTTTCACTCTCAGTCTCCTCTCTTGGGATAGGATTGGTAAAAAAAAAATGCTGCTATGTCGTCAGATTTTACAGGCAACCAAGCCTGATGCAGCATCACCAGGTCCACACGTCTGTGTATTTTACTAAACAATAACTTTCCAATATAGGCCTCAGAAATATTGGGCATTCTTTTTGTAATGTAATTCTCCCGCATATACATTCTCAACTACATAGTCTGTCTGATAAAGAACAGTAGTGAACTCTTAAGTGACACAGGCTAAAGACACTGGCCGTGCATCTCTCTGAATGCTCAGCATGGCCGGGCATCAGTGCAGCTTTTGCAAGCGTGATTGACAGTGACTGCGTCGAGGCAAGGGGTGTCCGCAATCCGATTCCCCACAATGAGAAATGCCTTTAAAAGTGGAAATGAATTATCGGCGTCAATAATTCGCCATCCCAGATCAGAGTAAGGTTGGGCGGCACGGACAGAAGAAGGAGAATGCTAAACGGGTGTGTTGCCTGCTGCACCCAGCTGATCTGGCTTTCATCGCACGTTCTTGGCGGCGAGTGTTTTCCTGATTGAACGGTGGGGGGGGGGGGGAGACGTTGGTGGAATGTTATTGATGGCCATTAAATAGGAGGGCAGCACACACACACACACACATGTGCCTCGCACCACCACCGCGGAACAAGGCATTCCTTTGTTTTGCGGTTTCGTGGTCCGTTTTGTTGTCGCAATCCTTCCGCCACTTTATTCCTCCTAGAGATGGCAGGATGACAGTCGCGTGCAGGCATGCGCGTCCACGTGAGCGGTCCTCTTTAACAACGGCTATTATTACGGCCATGACATCACAATGGCTGGCGGTAAAATTAGGTGGCCGCCAAAAATACACGCACTGACACAACGAGTGCACTTTAGGTGGCAAGACAACGCACGCTCGGAGGAGTAAGTTCACGTCTGCCAACTCAGGTCCGAGGAAGCCGTAAAAACGTTACGGCAGAAGTCACTGCGTATAGAATTACACTCGATGCGACCATCAATCACCAAGACAGACACTATTATGCTTCGAATAAATAAGTTATTTTTTTTCCCCTACTTAGAAACCGGTAATGAAATTAAAACAAAATAAAGAATCACATTACGAGGCAGTGATTCATAAATCGGATTGATATTAGACACCCTGGATAGAGAATTAACAGTTAATAACTAAATTTCGATTTAAAGCTTTCGTGACTGCAGGGATTCATATTATTAGTTCTTTCGGTAAAGTAACGTAGAAGGGAAATAATTAAATAATGAAAACAAAACGTAATAAAATAAAATCCTCACGACGTTTCGGCCACAATTCAAGCAGCCGTCCTCAGGTGAAGAAACAGCTGTCGGAAAGTCAACGTCCACATTAGGACGCTGTCTTAATGTGGACGCTGTCTTTCCGACAGCACCTTAGGACAGCTGCTTGCGTTGTGGCCGAAACGTCGTGAGGATTTTATTTTATAATGTTTTATTTTTATTATTTTATTATTTCCCTTCTACGTGACTTTACCGAAAGAACCAAGAATAGTTAATAACTACTGTCTGTCCCTTGTTAATAGCACTTTGGGCGAGTTCCATCTGAATATTACTTCATAATAAGTTTGTTGCTGTTAATGTTGTGAATGACATTTAATGATTAATATTTCGTTGTGTTTTCCCATCTCAAAATCACTGTACTGTATAGCTGGCTATGTGTTGCAATGCAACTTAGAAAATTAGGCCAGCCAAGGTGGAATGTTTTTGTTCACACATATTAAACTTTCCCTTGCCCATAATTTTTTCTTTGTAAAAACTACATCGCAATGGCTCACAACTACTATTTCCTGCACGAGTTAACTGTGAATTCAATGTTACAAAACAACAACAAAACTAAATTATTTGTGGTGCAACAAACAATGGCTTGAACAAAATACTTGACTCAGGACAGTGATATTTTGAAATTTACCTGTTTTCAATGAGAAAATGTGGTGTGCATTTGTGTATTTCATTCACGTAAAGTCCTGGTCACAAAAGCAACGTTTTGTGGGGAATAATAATAGCCATCTTCTATAATTTTAGGTATAAGCAATAAAAAAATGAACACTACCCAGGAACAAACATTGTGTTACATAGTGTGATTAAAACTGTGATGAACTAATTCTACCTAAGTTGTCTTTTTTTGGATTTCAGTCCAAAATATAATTGAATAAAACCTTCACCTTGACATGACATTAAAGTGTGTGTGTATTTAACCAATGCAAATAACAGTAATCTAAATTAAAACGTTACGACTAAAGTTTGATAACATTTGTACATTTGGACGGCAGCTAATGAAGCGAACGAAAATGAAATAGTTTAGCCGAAGTGCAAATTATTGAAATTAAAACCTTAAAAGCCAAATGAAACATACAATTTGTACAGAGCGTCATATTAATTCAGTTTCATTCATACTCACAAAAACATTTTTTTGTTCCTTTTGGGATTAATAAATACAACTCAATGCAGTACACATGGAGAGTGCTCGGTCACAAACATTGCTCAAAAACACCAAACAGTCGGGTACTGTCAGAGCCAGACATTGGCAGTGGAGAAGAGTTGGATGTCGACTGTTGAACAGTTGAGGGATTTAGCAGAAGGGAATTAATGGTGAGCTGTGGTGGCATTTACAGCATTGTCCATGAAGACCTCTTGACCTTTACTGTGATGGCATTGTTGCTTCTCCTGATGAACGTAGCTGTTAAATTGAGCATGGCGATCGGCTCAGTATGAGTGAGCAAGCACGGCAGTAAGTTGGCGACAGCTGAAGGGAATTAATGACCCATATATCACAGAACCTGTAGAATTCGTTTACAGTTTTGACAAAAAGTCTGCGCCCAGGTTAAGTCGTTGACATGTTGCCTTGTCAACTCCTGTGAAGCCAGCACTCACACCAACATTATCAGCAGCCACGGTTAACCGACGACCAAATTAAGGCCTTCCCTATCTGTCGATACATAACTTGCAATATGGTGATCCACCTCCATCTCCTATACATAAAGCGGTAGCAATATCCATATTCCTTGATTTCAATCAAATCAACATGCTTCCATAGACGAATGAGCAATGGGGTGACACTCATTTCCAAATATAGCCCTGAGCCAGTGGTAGAAATATTCCACATTTCCATGACAAGGGGAAGTCTATTCATACGATTACCTCCCACCACCGGCATTTGAATTTGCAAATTTCTGATTGCAAGATGAGTACTCTGACCACAACGACGAATATTTTGAGTGAGGCTGCTGGACGAGCACGTGACTAAGTTACCTCCTCTTCTGGTAGAGGTGTATCTACGTCTGTGGACTCTTCTCTACAGTGGCAGTTAGTGCCGGGAGGGAATATGCTAAACGACACCGACGTACAAAAAAACAAGATAATGTAGCAATATTTTATATAGAGCAGGTAGGTATAAAAGCAGGAATTTTGGCAACATTTTACCCGCAATATGAATATGAATAACCTCCGCTCTCCCTAAAACTAGGCCTAATCGCCGAGTCAAGCCTGTCAAGTTACTAAGAACACTTTCATTACCCCTGGACAGGCACAAGCATCAAGCAGTGGGTCGACGTTTCCAGGGCAGTGAGTCTGTGCCGCCGCTGTAGCAAGAGATGAGGTTCAGCCGTTGTCCCAAACAACGGCTTCAAAGAAGAAAAGCGGATCACACCTAACACTGCCTGTTCCGCACCATCGCCCTACACGGGATACCAGAGAACAAATGCAAAAATTCAGCAACCACTGCAATGGCAGGGATCGTTGTTATCGGAGGAGGCAAAGAGAGTGGCCGGGGGGGGAGATGGGGTAGCTTAGTGGGGGCGAAGACGTGGCCGCTGTTGCCAAATCCCAGGACCCTCCCCTGTGGCCCCCATTTGGGGGCACGCGTAGCCCTCTCACCTTGGAGGAGCGCATGCTGAAGGCGCTGGTCTTGACGTCGGCGCAGCCACGGTCCACGAGCAGCAGGACCCGCTCCTCCGTGAGCGCCAGGTACTTGCCCGTGGTGACGTGGCGCAGGCGAAACGGCTGGCCCCAGTGCAGGTGGTTACCGCTCCAGCTGGTACCGGCGACCGCGTGAAGGGAACGTGAAGCACAAACGACGACGACGATAATAATAATAGTCACAGGTGAAATGCAGCCAAGCAATCGCATGCTGATGATGATGATCACCACCCCAACGGTAGGTTGAGTTTGTTCATAAGTACGTATGTATGCTGAACTTCTTTCGCACCGTACGTGGGCCAACCATGGCAATCGGAGGTGCAGGGGAAGGACAACAAAATAAATGCGCAAAAAGGTTATAAGTGATTGTCGAGGTTGTTTACAAGTTATTTGGATTCTCGTAGAATTTGGACAAAAATTAATCAACAATTCATTCGTGGTGGAATGACAGTGAAGTTAATGCCCTACTTCCTGGTAATGACATCAGGTCTTAATAATCCATTTAATAAACCAACTGTGCCATTTGTCTATTCACCGTGAGAGTCACCGAGTGCAGGATTGCCTTAGGTGTCATGTGAGCATCGTCATGGCCAAACAGCCTTAGAACGTCACCATGAATTTACAAAACGCTACTTTGCTCACAATATCAAATAACCAAAGTGATTGTTCCAAAATAAAGTATTGAGAGCCTGGAAGATTAGTGGCTGTGGGTGTAGACGGCTAAAGGTGGGTAGGCTGATAAATGGATAAATGGTTTCTGCAGATGGATGGGGAAAAGTGATAAATGTGGTGAGCAGGTGAGAGGGGAGATCGATGAGGTGATGAATTAAATAGCAACAGAATTGGTAGGTCGCCTGCTTTGGTAGGTGATCTGAATTGGCGACCATGCGGATCACTGGAGGCGTGTATGGGTGGGTTGACTGCGGATGAGTAGCATGAACATAGAGTAACGAAGCATCATAGTTTCTACCCTCTCCTTCCTTCCCATAGGGTTCATGGGGGTAGTTGGCATGATAATACGTTAGTGTTGATGAAACTTTGAGTTGATTTTTGAAAGTTTGGTTTAAAAATAAAAATGTTATGTTTTTGTTCCGGTTTAACTTAATGTAAATGCCATAGGATTTATTGTAGTATTGGAGGATGTGGGTGCGAGTGAATGTGGAGGCGGGTGGGTAGATGCGTGCGTGGGTGGATATGTGTGTGGGTCAGTGCATGCGTGGGTGGATGCACGCGTGTGTACGTAAGTGCATGTGTGTGTATGTGTGTCCTTGTGTGGGTTTGTGTGTGCGTGCGTGCGGAAGTGTGCGAGTGGGTTAGTGGGTGGTTAAGTGGCTGGGTGAGTGTGTAAATGGGTTGGTGAGTGGTAAGTGGGTGAGTCAATAGGTTAATGTTGCAATTAAGAAAGGGCAATTTTGGGGTAATCTTAAGTTATAGGTTTAAGGTTAAGGCCAAGGTTATGGATATATTATTGTTACTGCCTGGGTTAGAGTTACATAATAGAATGTTAAGGATTCGGGCAAGGATTAGAGTTATGGTTGGCATTAGTAGTAAAGTTCATATTACAAGTGTAGGCTTATGATTAGGGTTTTGGCTATGATTACAGCTAGCTTTTTATCCCGCTGAAAGAAGATGAACTTCAGGAAATTTAAGAAGACGTCAATAAAGAAGGCTACAAAGTTGTGCTTTAGATATCTATATATGAGCAAACCAAACAAAACGCACGACAACTTTCACAAACCACTGGAGACATCTGTCCGAGGGACACAACTGGAGGTGGACATGAACCAAGACGTGGAAACGAGGAGGCGGACGACAGCTGGTCAGAGTGCTTTTGAAAAACTGAACTTAGTTAATAGCAATATGCCTAATGAATATTTGTTATAGACATATATTAACCATACATATCGATAAGAGACATCAACAACGGACAAATAAAATTAAGGATGAAAAGTGTGCAAAGGAGCAGAGAAAAGAGAGGTGCACGCTGGGAATGTACACAGATAGACAAAACGAGCAACACATGGAATCGGAGAATAATTATGCTGGTTAAAAACATGTTATTGACATTTTCGTTGACTCGTTGATCTGATAGCAGCTCTCAATCAAAAGGCTGCAAATTGAAATCCTGTCCGTCGGTGGAATTATCCCATTGGCAGGGATGACGGCTGGCGATTGAGACGGAAGACGAGGTAGGAGAGTGAGCTCGGGGGGGACGTCCACCGTGAAGATGGGATCACGAGGTCAGCGCGCGTGCAGGAGCTGGACCGACTGTGCACATCGTGAGACCTTGAAAGATGGCGACTGCTTAGGGAAGTATTCACCCAGGAGTGGATAGTTAATGGCTGGTGATGATGAGAGTTTGAGTTGCCATGGTGTGATTGTTAACTGGCGCACTCTGTCTCAGTCATACCGAGCCGCCAGATATTGGGGACTCGCTGTGGGCGGTATTGTGAGGACTTCAATACTTAATTGCAGGCCGATTTCTTCTTTTGCTTTTTAATCCCAAGCAATACGCATTCATATTCGGTCACATTCGATTTTGGACTGGGAAGCTCAGCCAGTAAATTAGGCTTTGATCCGGCTCCGATGGATTCGTCCCATTGCTGCCGTCACGCAACGTCTCAGCGTCGGTCTCGGTCGGACGAAGTGTCGCCTGTGTGCATGAGGAGTTTACCTGACTCGGAGGGTCTCCAGTCTCCACAAAGAGCGGGCGTGGCTGCACACAGCCCCGCCTTCGTAATGCACCGAACTGCAAGCCCCACACACGCGCGCACACGACATCCCCCGTTTAACCCATTGAAGCATGCACTCTGGACCAATGGGTATCCATGCACGGGCTGCGGTACGGATTCCGTGCAGGAGAAACATTCAAATGTGCTCAGGGAACATCAGTGCCGCATCGGATCGACAGAACACGAATACACAACGTGAAACAAATGCCTAACACTGTGAAAACGAGAGCTGGGTAAGTGTGACCTCTCTGTATATCATGTTTTATGTATTTTGGTTTCTTCCCATGGAAGGCGGAGGGTCGGCGCAGGGGATGGGGGGGGGCAGTGGTGGAGGCCATACCAAGCAAGTTGAGAGTCACTGCTCTAGAAGGATAGGAAAAAGGTTGTAATGTAAGCACTCATTAAGGGCAGTATGGCATGTTTTACAATGCTGATTGTTGAGCACATTCCAGCACCAGTCATTCATGTGAGGCTGAGTTGACCTTACAGGATGCCCATGCAACGTTCCAATACCAATGAATCCACGGGTGGTGTGGATCGACAGGAACTAAATCTTGTTGGGATCACAGCTCTGTGAGCTAATCAATATTCTACCACTTCCCATCATGTGCAAATGCAAAGCAAATCTGCCTTTTAGCCATGCGCTTTTTAGGAAACTGTCCATGAAGGTTACCATGGCTAATAAGGTGTCCAACATCCTTTGCATCATCAGGTCTTGAGCTTCACACACGTGATAATGAATATACCACCACTTGGGTGTTATGATGTCTCATTCAGGAACCAAACCGAGGTTGCCACGATCATACATGATGTGCGTGAATCATTGTAGTACGCGTACCGTTGTTCTCAACCACACAAGGATAAAGATCCCCCCGTATAGCCTTAACGGACTGTTGGGGCAAGTGCTGTGAGCGAGCACCTATTAAGGTCATCGCATCGCATGAAGGCGGGTGGTGTGTTGTCAACACCACGCGTGGGCGACCTTTATCTGCCCAGTGTTGACGTTTACTAACCACACCAGGCACTTATCCAAGCTGAGACAGCTGGAGGCCCGGAAGCAGTTCGCAATATCCCTCGCCTCCAACCTGAGCCATTGTAGCGAATCAAACTGAATATCGCAGGGTTCTCGTGAGCGCAAGTGGGCCAACCACTGGGGGCTCCACCACTCCCCACTAACAACAACAACAAGCGCTATTCGCCACTAAGTGGCAGTGACGTCTCCACGGCGCTTGTGCCAGGCTAGGTGCACCTTAAGGCCACTTTTAAGTGTCGAACGCCCGCTGACAGGAGGTCACGGGACGGACCCAGGTACCACGGGGGTCGACTTTCCGAGATGACTGGCCGATGCACCACCTCTGCCAACCCCCCCAAAAACACATCACAACACGCACGCGGCATGCACACACACACACGGACACACCGGGCACGCAAATAAACTCCCCCCCCCCCCTCCAGGCGCGAACGCGTGGGGGCTCGTAAAAGTTTCAGCAGCCCTACTACGCCTTGACGCGCGTTTTCCAGCGCGCTCGCGAAAAGCGGGGCCCGCAAATGTCAGCGGCCCGCACGGGCGAGTGTTTTACAACTCGATACTGTACAGGGCAATGCGACACCACCGAATCCAGAGGCGGCGATGCCCTCACAACTCGCTGCCCAACCACCCCCCCCCCCCCCCGCCGCCCCCCCGAAACTTCACATTCGTCACCGTCACCGGACGCAACGTTCACGGTTATCCGCGGTTATCCGGCCGCCGTGGCCGGGAGTTGAACGGTTAACCGCCACAACGTTCGAGAACGTTGATCGGAATCAAGAGTATTTGATTTATACTGCAGGAAGAATCCAATGAGCTATGAAGCTGTTTTTCACAGACGTCCAGTAGGGTCACGGGGTCAGAACGTTGCAACAACAAACGCCACAAAAACGCGATAGCGGTGCAAAGTGCAAGAACGTCAAAACAAATCATCCAAACGCATACAAATGAAACTAAACCATCCCCATCCTAAGAGGCAAAGCCCACTGAGATATGAACTTATTTGTCAGAAGCGACCTGGCCACAAATGATAGCTCAATAAAGTGGCTTATCATTTGGACATTTATAGCAGCAAAATAATGTAAATAATCTCAACGCATGTTTCTAAATGTGGAGCGAATCCAATCGTTTACCATCATCCGTTGCAAGCTTTTTTTAAATCACCAATTGTAGACAAGAATTGACAAACAGATGACAAGCTTTTGACTCGCACGGTCACAAACTGTACGCGACTGCTCTGTATTAAAATAAAAAAACATCCCTCTACGTACAATACATTTGGATAGGTCTCACAATTATCCGCATTCCAGACTACTGAATATGGACAGGTGGTGATGTGGTTAGGATCACTTGACGAACAATCAGACTGGCTGTGACTTCTCTGGTCTGGGGTTTCCCTCACAGTGTTATTGTCACTCTGATGTCAATTAAAGGAGCAATGTGCTTATTTTTTTTATTCCAGTGAGTATGTATGAGATGCTCCTTATTTAAACAAATATATATTGCTAAGTTACTACTCAGGTTTAATCATCCCTTCATAATCAACAGTTGGTTATCCTACGGAAACGCAGGCTCCGGCCACAGGAATATGGTTATCCTACGGAAACGCTGGCTCCGGCCACAGGAATATGGTTATCCTACGGAAACGCAGGCTCCGGTCACAGGAATATGGTTATCCTACGGAAACGCAGGCTCCAATCACAGGAATATGGTTATGCTACGGAAACGCTGGCTCCGGCCACAGGAATATGGTTATCCTATGGAAACGCTGGCTCCGGCCACAGGAATATGGTTATCCTACGGAAACGCAGGCTCCGGTCACAGGAATATGGTTATCCTACGGAAACGCAGGCTCCAATCACAGGAATATGGTTATGCTACGGAAACGCTGGCTCCGGCCACAGGAATATGGTTATCCTATGGAAACGCAGGCTCTGGCCACAGGAATATGGTCATCCTACGGAAACGCAGGCTCCGGCCACAGGAATATGGTTATCCTACGGAAACGCAGGCTCCGGTCACAGGAATATGGTTATCCTACGGAAACGCTGGCTCCGGCCACAGGAATATGGTTATGCTACGGAAACGCTGGCTCCGGCCACAGGAATATGGTTATGCTACGGAAACGCAGGCTCCGGCCACAGGAATATGGTTATCCTACGGAAACGCTGGCTCCGGCCACAGGAATATGAAATTCCCAACCACTGGCTCGCAACCTCCGATGGTTGATGAGTGATGACAGCTGATTGGAGCTGAGAGACACCGATTCATTTGTGTTGTTATTATTATTCTTAGGCTGTAGCCCCTTTGATCATGGTTACATGACCCGCATGACAGGAATATTTTAATGACGATTCACTCCTAACCCTTAAATGGTCTTTGTTTTTTCGTAAACCCCCGAAGACATTTGCAGCTGACGAGGGAGGGCGGCGTTTCTGACTCACAATCAGCCAAGGTTTTTGGGGGCATTTTCAGGACGCAGTTACACTCCCACCCCCGCGTACAACATTTCGTTAAAATTAAATTGCGCTTACAACACCGTTTATCAGACAGCAGTTAAAACGGGCGCCACAGCCTACAGTGTGGATAATTGCTCAAACGTGGGGCCTAATAAAAAAAATTGCAATTATGCAAAGCACAGCTTAATCATCACGAAGGCAATAAAGTCACAGCATGTGTAAGTGCAATATTTAAGACGTGCAAAAGTGTCTCCATGCGCACATTGGTTGGCACTCACCTGTTGGTAACAGCAAGTTACAGTGAGGGAAAAAAGTATTTGATCCCCTGCTGATTTTGTACGTTTGCCCACTGACAAAGGAATGATCAGTCTATAATTTTAATGGTAGGTTTATTTGAATAGTGAGAGACAGAATAACAACAACAAAATCCAGAAAAACGCATGTCAAAAATGTTATAAATTGATTTGCATTTTAATGAGGAAAATAAGTATTTGACCCCTCTGCAAAACATGACTTAGTACTTGGTGGCAAAACCCTCCTTGGCAATCACAGAGGTCAGACGTTTCTTGTAGTTGGCCACCAGGTTTGCACACATCTCAGGAGGGATTTTGTCCCACTCCTCTTTGCAGATCTTCTCCAAGTCATTAAGGTTTCGAGGCTGACGTTTGGCAACTCGAACCTCCAGCTCCCTCCACAGATTTTCTATGGGATTAAGGTCTGGAGACTGGCTAGGCCACTCCAGGACCTTAATGTGCTTCTTCTTGAGCCAATCCTTTGTTGCCTTGGCCGTGTGTTTTGGGTAATTGTCATGCTGGAATACCCATCCACGACCCATTTTCAATGCCCTGGCTGAGGGAAGGAGGTTCTCACCCAAGATTTGACGGTACATGGCCTCGTCCATCGTCCCTTTGATGCGGTGAAGTTGTCCTGTCCCCTTAGCAGAAAAACACCCCCAAAGCATAATGTTTCCACCTCCATGTTTGACGGTGGGGATGGTGTTCTTGGGGTCATAGGCAGCATTCCTCCTCCTCCAAACACGGCGAGTTGAGTTGATGCCAAAGAGCTCCATTTTGGTCTCATCTGACCACAATACTTTCACCCAGTTGTCCTCTGAATCATTCAGATGTTCATTGGCAAACTTCAGACGGGCATGTATATGTGCTTTCTTGAGAAGGGGGACCTTGCGGGCGCTGCAGGATTTCAGTCCTTCACGGCATAGTGTGTTACCAATTGTTGTCCTGGTGACTATGGTCCCAGCTGCCTTGAGATCATTGACAAGATCCTCCCGTGTAGTTCTGGGCTGATTCCTCACCGTTCTCATGTTCATTGCAACTCCGCGAGGTGAGATCTTGCATGGAGCCCCAGGCCGAGGGAGATTGACAGTTCTTTTGTGTTTCTTCCATTTGCGAATAATCGCACCAACTGTTGTCATCTTCTCACCAAGCTGCTTGGCAATGGTCTTGTAGCCCATTCCAGCCTTGTTTAGGTTTACAATCTTGTCCCTGACATCCTTGGAGAGCTCTTTGGTCTT